TATATATGCGTAGGTTTGTTTATATCTAAATGTGTATTGATGTGCTTTATTCGTAAATCTGCTTCGCTTCGTTTGCTAAGGCCAGGATTGTGTGACTTTCACTTGTTTCTGGTTAGGGTACACGGTACTTGTTAGTTTTACATGTGAACGTGTATGTCTGCTTTGTTCCATTTGGTATGTGTCACATAGATTACATATGCATGTATATATATGTTACAGCTATGGCGGCGAGTCGGTACAAGCGAGCCGCCAATTACCCTTTACAGATTCTTTGGTATGGGCTGCAAGTCCTGTCGACTCCTAAGACAAAGGACTATCTGTTAACTGGAGGTCAATTGAGAAGATAGTGCAGCAGTACGTCGGATGCGGAACGCGCCGAATAATGCGTACCTCTTTTTTTTTGAGTCCTCATAGAGAATTTGAAAAGGACTCCTCTACGTTCTAACTTCGTTTTTTAGCTAGCAAACGAGGCATCCGACGTTTTGCACAACGCTATCAGTTACGCAACGTTGGAATCACGATATATATATATATATATATGTGTATATATATATACATATATACCTATATATATATATATATATATACACACACACACACCGTGTTATCATCATTATTATTAATCGTTCCTAACTTGAAGTTCAGTTACTATAGTCGACTCTACGTAAATCTTCGTTAGAGTCGCAATCATCAATAGTATCATTATAGGCAGCAATCACATTAAGGTATACACAATGTATTATAAAAGCCAAAATCGTTACGTTCGAATAGGTGTGTGGAATAGTGGTAATGGCATTTGTTTATTTGTGAGCTATTTACTTACAGTTTGGCTTCATCTGGGACTTCACTTCGTCGTTCTCTTGTCAATAACAACTACCAGTTTCTCTTCCTGTTAAGCTTGGCAGCATCGTGCCACTCAACGAATCGATCTACAAATGTGTGCAGATGGAGACTGAAAACGCTCTCCCCCATTTACGCCTCACGTCATTGCCGATGTTAACACCCTCACAAGTTCACCGGTTCATTGTCAGTAATCCTTTTAGATGGCATTTTATCGTTCGCATGCATCCAACAATTGCGACACCCACCATCTTTTATGGTTAGGCATTATGATACTGATCGGTTTATAGTTGTTCTAGTCGAGTTATTAGCAATCGGTCGTACGTTCGTTTTCTTCGTAGAAATATATTCAACGATCCTTCAAGTATGCGCTGGCTCAACAGGATATAAACCTTTATATGTTTATGTTTTTTAAGTGTTAGTTCTCCATCTCCTCTCTCTCTCTCTCTCTCTCTCTCTCTCTCACTCCTTTATTTATATATATATATATATATATAAATGATCACCGCTTCGCTCGTGATCATTTTGCATTTTATTAATTATCGATGTATAAAGGTTGTCATGGGTGTCGTTGGAGTCACCAACGACTTGACTGGGCCCATCAGCATCCATCATTTCTTGTTGTAGTTATTAGTGGCATGGGTATCTTAGCCGCGGCTAAAGTTTATCTACGCCCACTTATTTCTGTTCGGTCTACATCTCTTCGTAGTTGTCGTTTCTCTGTTTGGCGTTATTTCGATGTAAGACGATGTTCGCAGGATCGTCGGCAAGCTCGGGGTAAACATTTACGTCGTGATGGTAGTCGCCACGATATCCTGGAGCGGAACCAGTTCGGATGATGTCGTCCTTCTCCTTATCGGTCCAATCAACACCGGATTGACGTCCGATAGAACCATGATCGCGATTCAAAAGTTCTCTCTCCTGAGCCCAACGTTGGCTGACAGCGTGCTTTTTGGCGTGCCGCAGAATTCGCTGTTGTTCTTTAGCCATCTGCGCGCCATAGCGGACGCTGAGAACGGCGTAGGTTGTGTGCACCCTGATATCGGAATACTGATTAGCATGATCACTATGGTGAGTCACGTTGATGGCGGTACCGAGTCGCTGAAGTTGGGTAAGGTCATCATCGTATTTCCAAGTGGCGTCTTTGACGAAATAGAACACGTCGATACCGTGCATGACTAGATGGACATCAACTAGCTGAGTGTTATTAAACACAGCCGTAAACACGTCGCGATTGATGGGATTAGCCTTGTCTACCGCACGCACACGAGCTCTGCCCTCGAACTGTGAAATTGTAATGCCTGCAATGTAAACAAGTATCAAATTATTTAATTTGAAAGCTGGTTGCTATGTGCCTCATAGAACATTTCATCTGGCTTCTCCTATTCACGCAGAGCAACTTCACCTATTTAGTGCGGGGGAGCCTTGCCGAAGGCCTATGCTGCAACGTCAAAAAATCTACCAAATCTTAGAGCCCAAGATAATTTACGAGCACTACAACGAACCAGGGAAAAAAGCGGGACAGCTTTTAACGACGCCTGCGGGAGTTCTGGATTCCGTAACAAAGCGGATGTGTAGCTACAAAATGTCACCGGTGTCAACTGTACTTCTATCTATTAATAAGTGATTAGATCGATTACGTTGCACGTTTTTTTGCTTTTTCGATCGATTTTTTATTTTAATCGCAGAAGATTTAGCTTGACCTCACTGATAGCGATTTGTGTCTATTATGGTTTCACTATAGACATTAATCGATATAGAGGGTGTACATTATGCATTCGCTTTAACTGCGGCAAAATTTTTTTTCCACCAGCTTTTTTAAATATAGGTAAAAGACAGAATCGTGCATATCCGTTTCCAATAAATCGCAGGCCACCCGAAATGTGTTTATATATGTAACATAAGCATGTGCAGAAGCTTGCAGGGTTTGCAAATAAAACTTAAATAAATAAGTCAGCACAACACAGTTTATCTTTTATTTGTATGTGTTTTTCTCGAGATCGCTCACTCGATTGGCACGCCCTGCCATAAAGTGGATGCACCGTTTAAATTGCCTAAGTTACAAGGCCAGATGATCAGTGTTGCTATGCCATCGGCTCAGATGAGGTAATAAGGTAAGATGTTTCCATTGAAGATAATCAAGCGTCTGCGCCATTACGTGACTTGATTGGCCTACTGCCGTAGACGTCTTGTTTTAGTTTCGTAAGCTACAGACCATCTATAGGAATGTAAGTAACCCCGTCATTATGCAGCAAACTTCTTTACTTCACTTCTGGACACGCTTCTGCAATTCAAAATGCGAATACGGTTTCAATCATTTTTACTAAGCAACTTACTTTACGACAATGTGGAACGGCTCATTCCTGAATTCGCTATTTTCTATATGGCCAACTTCATCCAACACTGAGCATATAGTTGTGCTTCTTTTCCACGGACAAAGTTCCATGGACATGGATCTGTCTCAAGAACTTTTTGCAGCATTAGCCCGTAAGCCATTGTACATAGGTGTAGCAGACACACGCACATATAAAGTTTACCGTATTATCCTTCTCAACATCGATTTCTTAATACTCTTTGTTGTCTGCTTGATGCTAAACGCTATTTACTAAAGTATTTTTCATACACGTCATCTACCTTTAGAATGAGGTGGACATCCGCTCGTCGTTTTGATACGCAAACACAATCCAATAAGGACGGTTCATTAAGAACCAAACGCACGCCAAGGTGCGCCATATTGACATCATAAAAACATTGCGAAAGTCTACTTGACATAAAAATGTTGCATGCAACAGAAACTTCACATAAATTGTATATATATTACATATGTTAAAATGTTATATATACATGTAAGCATTTAGTTCATGAAAAACTGGAATGTTTATAAGTGGGTCATTCATTGTCGTCAGTTACAGTATGCCTATTTCGTGCCGATCGCTCTATGGATGCGGCTATGTCGCACACATGTACAGTCGTCTTTGCCGTCGTTCTGCTCGTTCCGACTATTTACCAGAGCAACGGTCCGATCCACTTAGTTTCCCAAGCTAGTAGCACTCGCTGGCTGTTAGGCTTAGACGGACAGAAAAGCAGACATCATTAGGCAACAGACGCTGCGGCAGAGTCCTGCACAAGCAACAGAGTCAGAACCTGATAGGTGCCCTACCTCACTGCACGCACGGAAAAGGCCCAACAACTAAGTGAGTGGCCGAGCCACTTGTATGCTGATTTTGAGCTCTTGGGCTCATTCGTGATTCAGGCAGAATAGCAGTTATTCCCAAAAGCTCCAAAGGCCAGCGTGGGAGGGGGCGTGCAGCCAGCCATTCGGCCAACGTCTTGTCCTCATAGAGCTTTGGGTTTCCTCCCTCCAGTGCTTTCTTTTGTCGTCATTCGGTTTAATGTCGGCCCCAATTTATTAGTCGTATTAGGACAACCAGTCATTGTGTGGCACTTGGCCACTGTAATGACAGTATCTTCGACTGACAAAAGAACGAATCGTCCGAGTCTCTTCTGTCAAAACGTGTTTTTTTTTTTCTTTTGTAATGATGAGAGCGTTTTGGACTTTGGAGAGCGCATGATTTTTCACATTCAGTCCTGAATATGATTCGCCGCTCGATCGGTCAATAGTTAAGCCGATGGAAAAGTCCAGGCCTGGAAAAAAGTTTGACGGAAGAAACGAACGACATATTACCTTATGCCAAAGGTACTCCTCAAAATGATAACGTAAGCTGCCGCAATCCCCGAATACGTCAGTATTGCTTATGCGCATGCGGGCTCCTCTTACACACCCGGCTGCCACTGCAGGGCGCGGGCAAGGACCCGCGTTCAGCGCGAACGCACCGGCAGTCCGCTCGCCGCGCTGGAAAAAGGGAGCATTTGTTGAAGCCACAGAGAACAACGGGACCCCAGGACACAATTAAAAAGCAAAAGGCATTGGCAACGATGAACAGCACAACCCAAGCAGTAGAGCTCAACGAGTGCGGAGCTGTTCATTATGCTGATGTCTATGTTTCCGTAACTAATAGAGGTACATAGTCGCGACATGCTTGTTTCTGCAAGTATGGCTGTGTACAGGCTTCACACGGAGCGAGTAGGCAAACGATCTGGACACAAACTGATCCTTTTTGCTATTAAAAAAATACAACTACGGTATGTAGGTCGAAACACGCACTGATAGATGTTTAGTATATTATCTACGAATGCACGTAAAATAACGTCAAATATCAGTGTATCCGATTAGATAAAATAGCGAAGACCCACTGAATATGGGAATGCACTATAATACGATCTCACTTTATTGATGTAGATTTTAATGTAGCAAGTAAGATATATAGATAAGATATAAGATATATATACAAGTCATTAAAAAAAAAAAAAACGTCTTGAATTAATGCAACTAAGTTAAGGTACTATGGTGGAAGTGACGTTTTTTAGCTAATAAAAAACTGACCTATAGACTCTAGAGTATATTAGCGGGCTTTGTACGTTCCTTACTACACAAATGGCAGAAGGCTGTGTTGTTTATGGGGTTGGGTGTAGTATCGCACCTGCGTGACCCTGGGAAATAGTTGGGTATTTTCACTCTTTCACATTACGTGTTTAATTGTTATCTTCGGTGACCTAATACTTAAAATGACGCTCATAGGTAAACGTGAGCGGACGTCGTATACGTCTGGTGCTACCTTTACCAAATTCATTATGAATACATATTACATACACGTTACAGAACTTAGATATTGTCTGTTATGTTGGCACGGGTTTCTTTCGTGCTGTGCTGCTGCTGCTGCTGCTGCTACTGTCTATCATCTTGAAAATGGACTTCTAGCGATGTTGAGATCACCCCTGCACTTATAGGATTAATATTCAATAAGTTTCCCTTTCGCCATGACTAAGTGGTAGTTCTCTCTGGTTCGTCGTATTACACGATGACCATATCTAATAAGTTTTCTGATTTATTTATGTACATACTACTTGTTGCTTTTTGCTTGCGTGTACAAGCATTTATTTGCGGTCTATTTATAATTTCGGTGTATAATGTTATAAATCCGTACCTTCAGATAAGATTTCTGAAAAACTGCAGAAAACAGCACGATTCTAGAAGGGCTTCCGCCAATTTTTTAGAAGCGCCAAGTGTGCGCGTCATTTCAGATTCGAGTGTAATCTACCGGAAGTCATTGCAAAGGAGACCTGTGCCATAGCTTTTCCAGGCAGTTGTAATGGAGACAGACTGCGGCAAGAGAAATGTGGCGCTTCACGCACAAAAAAATTAATGGCCTCCGTAAATTCAGTTTTTCGCAAATTTTTTTAAATAGGTCATGTGATTTGTTATAACCGGCACACTCACAGCTGCACAGCTAAAAAAATCTGACATATAGCAGATCAGATTTTTCTACAACTCTCCAACTCCTGACAGCTCTCCGCGACTGAGCATTTCATGCCTGTAAATCTGAATGTGTTGATGCCATCTCTTTTGATTTTCGGTTCCCGTTTGGTTCGTTCACTTACCGTAAACACATTGACATCTGTCAATTATGTGGAATGGGACCGAAAATAGTCAAATAGGTAAAAGTTTTCCTTCGTCCCAGACTAAAGAAAAGCCATGTTAGAATGCGCACAGAACACCGTTTTTGCTCCTTCGTTTCGGCTCTGTTTAGGACTTATTGTATGCTGATGTATGTATGTATTGTTCATAATCCATGCAGACTCTTGTTGTACTACCGCTCATAGATCTAAGAGAATAAAAATATTTGTAAAAATATCAAAACACACGCTAAAGTAAACAGTGACAGGCTAGGAAATGAAAGAACCAGGCTCATGGAGACATCTCATCATACCTTTGCCGTAAATGTGCGTTCTGCCTATCATTATTAAGACTGGTCTCGCTCGAAAATCTTACGTAAGATGAGATCGAAAAATTGTGCTCAAAATTTAAAGTGAGTCTGTCTTTAAATTGTACAGCAGCGAAATGTGAAGTCAAAGCCCTTAATACCCATTATACATTACTTCTAGATATTTTACTATAAATGATAATAATAAGTTTACGTAAAGATATCCAAAAATAATAAGGATTTTGATCAAATGTTTGACCGCGCTGTCGCCAACACTGCAACGGTAGAAGATATGTAGTTTTGGATAGAATTATAAAATAAAAAATGTTTATAAAGAGCTTGTTTTTCTGAAGAACAACTTGAGAACTCCAGCGGAGTGTCATTGTCACATAAACGTGCAGTGAAACGTATTATAATAAATTGGTCCGGATTCGACTTATTCGAGTTATTTTTTTCAGTTAGTTTAAAGTGCGGTGGCGCTTTTCAGGGGCATAGAACCGTGAGGGAAAAAAAAGAAGACGAGGCGTGGCGGAACATGGTACGGATATTTTTGCAACTGCTGTTGCTGGGAATGGCGTCGCTGCGGTAATCCCAGCTTAGCGCAGTAGAAGCTACGTCAGCAGCAACAGAGCTAACAGGCAGCACAATAGCCTGCTAAACGTTTTAGCCCATTCGGGCCCGCTAGCCTTAGTTACGGTTCAAAGCTGCTGTAAGTTGATGGGTGCTCTAAGTCAATAGCACTTCAGACAACAACGGCAATCACTACTAAGCACAACTGTAGAAGTGCGCTGGTAGCGAGAGCCTTTGGCAGCAGCAGGGGCTGGCTGTATCAAGCTGCTAGCCGCGGCTATAACACCATCAGCCGCAGCCCAACTCGAAAGTCTCCTCCGCCTCCGGGCAACGTCAATGTCGGCGTGTCTACGTCGCACGGTGGCCGTTTTGTCGATTCCTTTGTCAGTCGCAGGACAGCTACCGCTGACGGTTTCTGTCGTGCCCCAACTACGTGTAAATGACGAAGGCGTAGATAGCAACGGCGAGAAGAACTGCGAGAGGCAGCTGCTTACCTAAGCCGAGTCCTGTCATCCGTTGACAACTGCATACCCTCGCAGTAGGCCAGACCATAGAACGGCCTACATTTTCTATACATTGCGATAATTAATATATACTATATATATGGTGATGGATGTCATGACGCGGGATGAAAAATAGAGGCAAAAATGGGTAACAATGAGAGATTAGTGGTACGGAAAAACATCATCGAACTGTTTATACAAATACCCCGATTAATTTTTAATGACTTTAATAGTGATAGGAAATAGTATGGATTAGGTATGAAAGTGAGATTAGTTAGAAACCATACCGCTTTACGATCGAAAGCAACGAAAATCCTTCAAGTTTCAGCATTTGCGTAACCCACCGACGATATTTTCATAATTGGGATACTCTAAGAAAAAGTACTAGGCAGGTTTAAACTAGATGATTTAACCCACTATACAGAAACTCATTCTGCCCAAACGTCTTTGTCAAACGCAATGCAACAGACGAATCTGACGGACAATTTCAATTACAGTTACAACTTACCAGGTCCAAGGGGTACGTGAAGTGTACTAAGTTGGTTAGCGCTAAGGAAGTCTTCTTGCTTCACTCGAGAACGGTCAACAGAACTGAGACGAGCAAAATTTGTTAGTTTCCGACGAACTGCGCAAGCATACGCAGAAATAAGCGGTACCGACGGTAACTGCGGAAGAAGATCAAAACGATCAGATACTGTTCGTTCATGGAAGCCGTTCGCAGTCCTGACAACGGACGAAGGTCGACCGAGGCCTAGTGTAGTAATGTCGATACCCTGGCTTGCAATCCAATCAGGCGTGTCTGCAGTTGAATAAACGACTATGAACGTTAACAAGCGAGAACTGTGCTCGATGAGAACTTACTGTATGTAACGTCACTACGGTCAAATACAAGTAGACCGTTTTTCATTTGAAGCGATAAACTAAATCTATAATACGATTAGTAGTAAGCTTAGGCGTACGGGTCCAACAGAAGTGCCATTGAGGGGGCGATGATCATTGTCACGATGGCTGTGTAGTGAACCATCGCAAATAAAGAAAGTCCTATAGCAACATACCTCGCATTAGTGTAAAATATAACGGATTTTTCCAAAACAAGCTTCCTTTAGAATTTCTCAATATTTTATGTGAGCTCTATGGCGCGCAGTCAATTAGTACTATATTTGTTACTCAATTTAGATACTAACCGTATTTGTTCTGTCGTTTCTTATGCAGATTGACTGGATCATTATTGTTGAACTGGTAGAGATGCAGGTGCCGCACATCGTTGACGTGATTGAGGACATTCTCATAGCGAGGCGTCATCCACTTGCCGGTTAAGGAGTCGTACACTTTGTCTCCCATATGCAGCAACAATGTCACCGGATCAAGGATTCCTCCCTGAAAGTCGACAGGCACGTAGAATGTAGGTGTCGAATCGTAGATGATATGGCCGTATGGGCCTCTTAGAACTTCCTTGACGACCTCCCCGTACCGATCGAAGATAAGCGTTGGACTCCCATTGTGATCTGTGGCCACGTAAAAACTGTCCTTGTTAACCAAGATGTGAATGAGAAAATCGTTGTTGTCATAAATTAGGCTCATGCTACGACCATCGGCATTGTTGTAGATGTGCGTTACGAGATGTGGCCGGGTGAGGTCGGCGTAGAAGAACTGAGTCATATTTCCAAAATGGTCCTTTCGCATAGCTAGCCGATTTTGCGCGTCGTAGAAGTATTTGACTTCGTACTTGCCGCGCGTCCCTGACATTGCCTTGATCAGCTGACCTTTCACGTTATATTGGAATCGTTCCTCGGCTCTCTGTACGACAAAGCCTCGATCATTAACGACAAATGGAGTTTCGCCAAAGCGGAGAATCCGGTCACCCACGTCGTGGAGAATCTCGATTTTATTTCCCATATACCGCATAGTCACAATGTTTCCATTATCGTCGTATTGGAAATTCCATCGGTCTTTGCCGACCATTTCGATAAGCTGGTTATCAAGATCGTACGTGAAGTTTTGCGTACGCATCTGGCTTCCGCCCTGCAAACGCATTAGGGTTTTACTTTGCATTAGGTTGTTGCTGTCGCCGTAGGAGCACTCAAGGTTGTAGACCTCCTTCTCGGCGATCAAGAGGCCGCGCTGCTGGATTCGCCCAAGGCCGTCCGTAAGCTGAGTGAAGGTGGCGACGCCGTCGGCCAGTATCGTGTCGTTAGGATTTTGTGTGTAGACACGGAACGGGCCAATTTGTTCCCGTTGTCCAGTTTGAGCTTCATAGCTTAACTCAATGTCGGCGAATTGAAGTGTGCCCACTCGAGCACGAATGTGCTTCGGCCGGAACCAATTGTCGTACTGGTAGTGGAAATTGGCCGTCGTCAACTGGAACTTTGAGTAGAACTTTGCAACACACTGAGTCAACATGGGGCCATCGTAGAAGTAGTCGTATTTCACTTCAACATCACTTTCGACCCAGGCCTCGCTCTTGACGAAACCAGTAGATGTGTAATTGGTTACCACTTTGCCACCGCCATAAACTACAGCGGCGAGCAAGCTTTGATTATTGTAACGGTATAGCACGCGACCATTGTCACCTGGGAAGATTTTAAGTACAGGCTGGCCCCTATCATTATAATAGACTGTTAGTGGTCCATGGTTGCCGGGCGGAGTATATAGCAGTTTGTAAAAACCAATTGATACGAGCACCTGGTACGTGTGCATTGTCGATTTCGGTGTCGTAACGCTTTCAAGTCCGCCATTTTTATCGTACGTTAGCAAGTACTCGCGACCGCTGGGCATCTTGACCTTGGTTGGCTTGCTTAGGCCTTCGTAGCTGTACTGCATCTTGCCCTCGTTAGCTAGCTTGACCTCACTTAACAATCCACTTCGGTCGTATGTATAACTCTCTTGCATTGCTCCCTGGCTCCATCCAGATGGCCTGCCTAAACGGTCGTATTGAATATTCAAGGGCACTTTAACGTCGGTCGGTAAATATTGGATCGGCCTAGAGAATGTGTCGTATTGAATGACAAGGAATGGTCTACGAGAAGCGTTGTATACCATTTCCCTGTCTGCCATCCAGTCGTACTCAGTCTTCAGATACTGAGTAGTGTTCACCTGTAACCGAGAAAGCCGACAAACGACGAACGAACATGACTGTAAGCAAAGCCAATGCTAAGGTTGAGCGTTACCCTGTGCCGCTTTGCTTGCACATCCGGTTCAATGAGCGCCTGCCCGCATTGAACAAACATTTGATTTACCGTCACTTACCAGCAAAGTCCTCTCAACGGCTGTCACCGCGTCGGCAACCGGAGCGTCGCGTTGTTCTCGGCGAGTAAACTTAACGTCGTACTTCCACTCGAGCGAGTTACTAACTCCGGTCTCACCTTCACCTTCGGTGTATACTGTCTGTTTGATCGGTATGGGGAACATGCCGGCCTGCACAGGCAGGAGCTGGGTGAGCACCTTGTGGGTGGCTGCCTCCCAGAGAGCGGAAGTCTTCCACGGAGCCCGCACCTCGATCGCGCCATCCTGGTGCATCCGTGATTCTAAACTAATGCCCCCTAAAAGAGCACAAACAATTTGGTATATAGGACGCTAGTTAAGAGAGTTGAAAGAAAAAAATCGTATGCAAATTAATGCAATATTGTATTTATAGTCGAGCAGGCAAATGCTCTTAGTATACTCGTAAAATCGTTCTCGGATCAGAAACGTACGTTGTTGTCAGAGTACAATGAAAATTTGCTTTTGATAGGTGCAAACATACGCTCGAAAGGGTATAGCTATAAAGCAGCTATCTCACCAAAGGTTTACTAGAATAGACGCCCAGTATCACGAATGGCCACAGAGAATACAACACAATATAAGCTAGCTACTCAAAACCGACGATATAAGACTTGCGTCGTTCAGAGAAGTGGTTGTTGGAAACGATGAAATATGCCCAGTCAATCTGCCGGATCACGCGGCTGATAAAGCCAACACAAAAGTTCATATTATTTACATTTTTCTTCTATGATAAAATCCGTATCCATTGAAAGTAATTTGCTCAGCAGGGAGGGAAAATGGGGGATATATTTGATTTTAGAAACTTATTTTAACGAAACATGATCATCAGAGTGCAACGAGGATGATCTGATATAGCGTCGAGTTCGTTTTCACTACAATTTAGCCCGTGTTAGTAGGTGTTGCGCGAAGATACTGTTGATGAAAGATACAGTTCAGATGGAAAGTTCATCAGCTAGCCGCCAGCGGCGATCACGCAAATGACGACAACGAAAATTGAATGCACTCGCCAGAGTGACGTGCGTATGACGATTAGAGTAGCCATCATTGCGACTGATGAATCGCTTGGAGAGTCCCTTGTTGTCCTTGTCACTTGCTAGCCCGTCTCCTGAACCTGCTGCAGCCGGTAGAATCCCACCTCAGCAGGCAAAGGCTGGACTGAGACTCTCCGAGGCATAAACGACACGGGGATGCTTGTAGAGCAGAGGTTAACGTACTATTGCGATTTGTGTGCCCAGTTTTCGAAAGCAAACCATTGCTACGTACAAGCAGTGCTCGCTAACCTACTGACTATAGTGCCTATACATAACACCTCAATTCACTTACGTCTATGTATATATAAGGAAGCCAAATTGTGTTTGCGAAAGCCGTCGGTAGAACACGAAAGCAAACAACGAAAGCGGGACAAGCGAATATAGAAACATACGATTGAATTTCTTTAATGTTATTTATGCACAACGTCACCGCGACACTTTCGACGGTCAAGTAGCTGACCGAAAAACCAGGGGTATTCATACAAAATATGTGAGTACACGCGCATGCGTGTAATTAGTGCCATGAGCGTTTGTAAGAAAAAAGGTTCGCACTTAATCAGCAATCAACTTCATCTTTACTTTAGAGAAAAATTAAATAAGCCGCAGAACTTCTTAGAACCCCGTTGAGATCGTTGTAACTTACGTGCAGTAGTGGTGACGCTGGATCCTTTAACAACGACAATATCTGTGAACTTGTCGTCCTTCGCAGAAACAGCTGCGCCACGATCGGACAGATCAAACTCGAGTTCAACTACTTTGCCTGAGGGCTTGACAACATTCGTGAGACGGCCATTCTCATCGTAGATGTAATGGAACGTCATCCCGTTCGAATCGTGCCTGGAGAGCAATAGGCCAGTCACCGGCTCATATTCAAAATTGTACTGTAAATTATCAGCGTTGGTAAACGAGAGCAGCTGTTTTTGCTTGTTAACAAATACGCGACACTTATGGCCTCGAGCAGTTTCGATGCTGAACATATTATTCGCCGAGTCTCGAAGGAAAGCCACTTTATTGCCGGAGGCATCGGTTACAGCACTTAGCTTGCCGAGCGACGTGTTGACATTATAGAGAAATGTATATTTGGTCTTGCCGGTCAGCGCGCTCTTGGTAAGTATATGCTGGCCATACTTGTTGAATACGTACACCTCGTGGTTCTCGGGAAAGGCGACATGATATTCATTGTCACCTGTTGACTCGGGCAGGTACGGTACCGCTGACAGAATCTGCACGGAGAAAGGAGAAACATCTGCTTAACGGTCGAATGAAGACTGCATGAAATCATGCTCTAGTAAAGAAAGGCCGCTTTTTCCTGGTTGCTTTTTTCTGTTCTGGTCAGTGCGAGCAAAAGCAACGAACTGAGTTCTCCCTTTTTATGAGATTAACTACGTTTTTTGCGAAGCGTCATACAGCTTCAAACTTACTTTGAAATCCGCGACATCTGCAATGTGCACGGTGCCATCACTGGTAACAGTGAGCGAAGAGATGCCATGTAGGCGGGTTTCGACGGCCAGTTGACTACCGGTGTCCTCACACAAGCGGCATGTCGACGTGTTGGCATTTTTAGGACAGCCCCACATGCAGTGCGCAGGACGTTCTCGGCCGGCGAAGTGGATCATTTCACCGTCTGGCCGGAGCGCATGCACCTTATAGTTGTCTCGCTGATCTACCTCGGCCAAGTACATGACCCCAGTGGGGCCAAATGCGAACGAAATTAGGGTGCCGAGATTCTTCGAGGCGTTCTTGTCATACTTATTTGTTTTCCCCTTGGCCTCTTTACAATACGACGGTTGACCGACAACAGCAGTTACTCTTTAAGTGAGGCAGAAGATTAAATATAGGTTAGTCTTGTTGCTGAAATAGAATACTTTAGACTCGAGTCCACAACGATTTGCGTGAGATTCTCTGTTTACCTACCAGGGTATACCTCCCGTTGTTTGGCAAGTTCTGTTTTTTGTAACCTTTCATTAGTATTTCAGTAGTAGTCCCTTTTTGGGAGTTATTACCTTTTGTCCTTGGTGAGTTTTATGATCATATGATCATCGATGAAATAGAGCGAATTATCAATAGGATTGATAGCAAGTTCTGTCGGCCAGCGTAACTTGGTCTGTCCTATTAGCAGAGTTCCGGCACATGGGATTGGTCTCCATTGGTGACGTCCTCTGGGACCCCCGATAACCGTGTGGATCACGCCGCGTTTGTCAACCATCCGGATTCGTGGACCATCAGCAAAGTACAGGGTGTTGTCTACTGAAAACGCCAGTCCTATGAAAAAGTCAGAAACGTATAATTAGCCCATGGACCCATGAATATACCTGGCCATACGCTGTCGCAATAATCTCTTACTGTACACAACTATGACAGAGGATTAACTCCTTTTTGAAATGTATAACCTCAATAGCCAAGTTTCTTATAGTTTGAATGGCCGATAGACAAACACACACACGATGCACTTAGTAGAAAGCAGATCTTATCCAACAAGTTTTTTTAGCTTCGTATTACCGTTAACAAATTATAGTGAACGTCAGCCCCAATTCTTTTTTTTACACTATCTGTATAATAAATGTTTTTTTTTTTTACTTCCACAGTATGTCGTATATTTCTTGCTATTTAACAAGTTATGAATGCAAGAGATGCAACATATGACGACAGCAACTCTCAACATAGTTAACGAAAGAGCAACTACGCCACCTACTTATAAGCGGTGGCCTATAATATATACTACAAGTATCACTACTTGTGCTTGAAAAACGAAAATAGAAACGAATATCGCTAGCTAGTGTATGCCTCACTACCGAACGGAGGCACGTCGAATTGTAGGAACAAACAGGCTAGATAATCCATCACGTACACTAGCCGATTTCGATTCTTTGCCCTTGATCCGGGATTTGCTTTCTTACGACCTTAAAGCCCACAGGCGTAATCTATCTTTGTATGCTAACCTCACGAGAAATACTCTCTTGGCTGGATTGAACGTACGAACGCACTTTCACCAAAGATGATGTTCAATTTATGACCGTAAAACTTGGATGGCCTCCGTTTATCGAGGCAGCATCACGTTGATATAGTCTCAAATCGAGGAACAACATACAACACAATATCATACACAATAGAGTCCTGCATCAATGATTAGCTAAATATTTCAGGTGACCCTTGTGCAGATAGGGATTTCGTTAGAAGTAGCGACGTGCAATTTTAATACGCCTCTGTGTATTTTTGGCAACATTTGAAGAGCAACGATACTAAAACGGAATTACAAAAATTATATTCATATTATATCAACCCTTCAAAATAACTTTACGAAGAGAACGGTTTTTTCTCGCGTGTGGAGCCAAGATACCTGCAATGACTAGATTTGCCCGATGCACATATCATTTATTACACAGAACAGCCGCCATATTGATTAATAATAATAATCATTATTTCAGCATAATCTATAAATAAATATATATGTATATATAATAAACATTACTGATATTGCTGCCCGTATTGCGACCTAGATGATTATCATCATCACCAAAAAGGATTCGCTTATCTTACCTTTCGGATAGTGCAGCTTCGCTTCCATGGCTCCCGTACCGTCTCCGCAAAGATCAATGTCAGGGTCAACACATCGTTTGCCATTGCCTACGACGCTGTCGGCTGTGTTGCCCTCTGCCGCTTCCAAGTGTTTGTCTAGTTGTACGCGTACAATCTGGTACATCTCAGGGTCAGAGATGTAAAGATGGCCATCCGTAGGCGACAGTGCGATATGGTACTGATACGTCAGTTGATCGGGCAGATTTCTGATCATGCGGTAGCGGGAAAAATAGAACGGACGAGACGTGCAGCGATGGCAGCAATGTATGATTTAATTTAAATCGCTATATAGATGACGCTCTCATAGAAAATCATTTCAACCAACGCAGCTAACACTGTTATACTACAGATCTGTCTTGGAAACTAACCGTCTTCAAAAAGGCCTTCGCTAATATATCAGCGAAACTTGCGCTGGTCGATTAACAGAGTGATGGGAAATCCGCTGAGTTACGGAACGCATCGTTTCGAGCGTCATCGAACCGTGCGTATGTATTTAGAACATAATGACAAACGGGTGCATCGTGCTTCATTAATCTATTTGAAATTACGAGTTGGCCTCGGTTATTTGCTAGATATTTTGAAGGCCAAGATTTACGAGGGCGAAAAGCTAGACAACTAACTAATTGAAGTAAGTGGCCAAGTGGAATTTATATATAGATCAAATTGAAGAGGACTGTAAAAATCGCCAGGTGTTGGTGTATACGACTATAGCTGAGAGGTAACCACTATCTGTATTTCGTTAAACTCTTCTTAATTTTTCATATACTCATCATGGCGCTAACCAGTAGTTTACTGAACTACTTACTTGAGGGTGTAGACCGTATAGACTTGCCCAGAAGGTGTAATTCGCCTTATGAGATTGTGATCTCCGACGTAGATGCTACCATCTGGCCCTGATGTAAGCGTGATAGGATTTTCGAGTTTATTGCCTTGCGCTCGACCGGTGCATTCAGGACAGATTCGCGAAGTTCTTTTTCGGCCTGTACCAATTAAAGTCTGAATAACTCGTGGCTGATGCTTAAAGTACACGGTAGAACCGTCACCCTTCTGTAAAACGCCTTCGTGGAAATTATACCGATGATGGATGTCAAGGTTCCACTGGCCTAACTCCGAGATATCCATGTCGAAGCCACGCAAAGTCGTTGATTGTGACGTCCATATCGTTTTGTCACAGTTCGTGTACTGATAACCAACGTACACTACAAAAAAAAAAGAAGAATTCACTAATCAGATTTTTTTCAAAGAGACCTTTGATTGTGGCAAAAAAAAACCTTGCTCTGTTCGTAAACTTCCTGGAGTCACTGAACGAACTTGCATAGTTTTGAGTAAATGGCTATCTTTATTTTATATGTATCCTTACTTACCCAGTACAGTGGTTAAACCGTATACTTTTTGCTTGTAAACATTGCGTTTGTTCCAAGCATAGGTGAACTTGATATCGGGATCTGCCTCGAACGTTTTCTCAAACAGTATACCCTCAACGACGATTCGTAGCTGCACAAGCTTCAGCTCTTTGGACACTTGTGATGGCGTTAGTTGCAAGTGAATAGTTGACAAGTACCCCTGGCTGTGACTGCTTTGATAGACCAGACGGAGATCAGACCCAGGAATCGGGAGCGCTTCTTGGATCACCTGTTATGCACAAATACCCGGCAGTAGATAAATGGGAAACATGGTTGAGGAAGTAAAGTTAATGAACCACCAGTTCGCTAACTGTATTGGGAACTTGTAACATGCAAAGATATCGTACCATTACCCCGGACAGCTTTAACCATCTGTGTTAACTATGTCTTTTTTTTGCCGCCCTGCTTGGTTGACCGTAAAAATGTTTTCACTGAAAGCGGTGAATATTGAATCTTCTACGAGGAAAATTGTTTTTCGAAGCCTTTCCTCTACATTGTATTCTGTTCACAAACGTACGCATATCGACGTATGTTAGAAATGCACAGGTGCTCATCAGAGGAAAGCGACTTCGTCAAAATTAGTTCGTTGTAGGAGATATCGTTTCTGTGCGGTCTCTACTCAATTGGGAATCGGCGCTCGCTCAATTGTTCACAATCTCTAGGTTATCATTGCGATCCTAAGGCGACCGCCTGCCGCTCGCTTCGAGGCACAAAAATAAAGGTAGAGCTCGCCGCCGTCAGCGTTGTGTCTGGTGTCATCATTGTTGCTGTCATTTGTCGCCCATGTCCTATTCGTAAAATGTAATCACGGCTTCTTTTTCATCCAAAACTGGTCAAACCTCTTCTCGCTCGCTTCTCTATCCCATCGCATTACTGGCTGCAGCCGTAATCCTCCTTGAGCTTGTGTTCGGTCCGGCGGTCTTTCGTTTTTCTTCTGTTCTTTGCTTGGCGTTTTCTTTATTCTTTCTACGTTTTTGGTCCTACGTCAGAAGGTCACCGAGGGTTATATTTTGGTGGGGAAGAAAAGGACTCCACCCATCTCATTTTTGTTCGAAGTGACACTGTATTATATTACCTTATTACACGAGTAGGATCGATTCTACTAGACCGGATTTTGTTGCTGTGGGTGCTGCCACTGGCTCAGGCCACCAGAACTAGGGATAAGCACCGCCTTTACCTGGCTTTTTCCCCTGCCTCTCTTAGACTGATCCCAAGACAATACAGAATAACTGAGCTAGATATATATATATATATATATATGTATACAATTGCTATCTATATAAAAAGAACAGAGGCAAAGCTATGCGATAACTATAATCAACGGCAACTGAGTCTTCGCAACCTCGCCGACCTTAGCACCAAGAGCTCCGCGTGGCTTACCTAGCATGCGTAAGTTCGTCACGACATAATCTCTACATTCAACCCGAGGAGGCATATTGATTAAATGTTGGAATAAGGATTACATACGTAAGCCATTATCTACATGTGTGCAAATGTCCATGTCAATGGTTGTGTAATACAAGAACGTTTTGTATCTTCTGCAGGAGAGGGGTAAGCCTAACTTTCCACCAAAACTGAAATCAGCCGTGCTTCGCAAACCATTTATTGTAATGGCTAGCGAAACTCGCTGAAAGATCGCAAACGACTTCCAAATTTGCTACCAAAATTAAGACCCGGCAGAGGTACTAGCTTTTCACCTTATTTATATAATAATTTTGTAGCCCTAGTAAAGAGATAAAAGACAGACTAAAAGATACTAAATAAAAAAAAAAAACAAAAAAAGAATCTTCAATTCAAGTTACAAAATGCGCTGGACGATGCGTAACAATCCTAGCTTTTAAAGAACCATTTAAGGCTCGAGTTTATCATTTGCTAGCGTTCGGCCTAATGTGTTAGACGAAACAATGTAATTCCGTTGTTGTATTTAATACGACTACATAAACGACCGGTTTTTACACGACTATAGGGTTTGATGGCTAGCACACAGTTCTCCGATCGAAAAGCTATTAAATGTAGGATCCCATGAATACGGTTTATCTCGGTCACTTCAGTATCGACTGTTTAAGGATGTTTTGCACTTTTTATTGAAGTTGCATAAACAGCCCCAATAGCAAGGGCACGTTTCAGTTCATACGATAACGTTTTCATAATTGCACGCTTCTAGGTATTTAACTTATTACAGCCGGCTTTGTACCTTCTTTGCTCATTTCTTCGCAACCTTCTAGCCCAGTGTATGTGTGTTCCGTGCCTGAATACGAACCGTTTGATAAGCCAATATTTATTGTACATTCGTAATATGAATCTAACAAGTATTCCCGACGAAAGCCTCTTGTCTATTGCATTAATTAACGCCTGTCTATATTGTTAGATAGATACAATACTAACCTGAGTTTCGGCTATGATAGCGGAACGTTCGGTACATCCCCCTTGGGAGCCCGGTCGCCACGTTTGATACACAATAGGCTTCATGCGGTCTGCATCGTGCGGGAGGCAACCGGCTTGCTCCTCGAACATGCCTTCACCTTCATTAGGCTCCTGGGCTACACTCATCATAACAACAGGCGACATGACGACGATATCATTCCAAGGGACCATGATTGTCCTCTTGATTGGATGGAATGGATTACGCTGGAACTGGAGCGTCACAGCTCCTCCACCATTTACCAGGATGTCGAACCTAAATCAAGAACGTAGGTTATGTGCTTTTGTGATTGCTGTCTTTCGAATAACAGCAACAACAAGTGTTATCTTTCGACATCGAAACTTTGGACCACTTGCGCCTAAATTGGCATCCGTCTGTTTGCTTGTAGTGCCGTCCCAATATATATTGCTCATAAACGATTACAAATGCTGCTTCGGTGTTGAGAATACTTTCGATCTTTTCAAACAAATACATGTGGCGTATGTACGGTGGAGAAAACGTAGACTGTGAGGCATGAAACATGCCCCTTGAAGCTAATAACACGTTTTTTCTACGTATTTAATAGAATCTTGGGAGAAGTTCGAGTACTCGCATATATTCCAGATCTAAAGATAATGATTCTCGCTTCTATCACTGGCATCATCAGCGTGAACGTCGAGCAAATTATATTTTTTTTCCAGGTTCTAATTGATTTGCAATCCGCTATTCGTGCACGGTTGGATATTTGAATGTATATATGTGTCGCGCAGTAATAGCCTTTAGCTGACTAGCTACCCCTGTATAGTACGCGACAGAAGGGTTCCCACAGGGGGCAGAAAGGATAAAACTGGTGGATTGGGACCAGTCCGCATGGCTACCGACTGCAGCATTACGTAGTCAGACTGAATAGTCTCCTCCTAAGATGATTTTCGAAACGAAAAATTGACTTCGTTTGTATTGCAGCAGCAAGAGCAGCCGCCACCGCTGACACTGCCGTCACAGCTGCTGCGCCCGCCGTTCGAATCAATCGTCGGATAAGGACGCTAAAGCCAGTTGAAAACTAGCTGGGGCAAGCAGGCTTCATTCACCATCTAGTGCTGTGCTATTGCTTGCGCTTTGCTTACCCGCCCGCCCGCCTGCCACTTTCCCTCTTATTCCTTCGCTGATTTCCTAGTGCCCGTACCGCTCTCTAGCTCTTCAAACCCCGTTGGCGTCAGTGCCACTCGCCTAGGTTCCCTAAAAAGGGTTGCAGGACGTACTAAATAGACGCAGCGCACTGCTTTAGCCCTCTCTGAGAAGAGAACTAACAACCGCAGAATTACGAAAGGACACCAAAAGATTTCAAGTGTGCATTAAACAGATACAGTCTAACCCCTCGGCGTTTGCTGACGTGTACCGGCTTTTCCCGTGGCCGCTCATTCACGAACAACCGGAACTAGAATAATAACAATGATGGTATACCATACTACATGACTGTCCTCTTTCCACTTAGGCTGGACAAAACGTGATCGACCATTGTTTTTATTTACTTTACGGAAATGCGTATATTTTAAACGACAAACGTGTATCTATGGGCATGCTTTTGGCGAGAAAGCTTTGAGACAAAACTTTTACACAGAATATTGAATTGTACAGTTAGGTGTACAGTTAAATTTGCGTACAAGGTATTTGGGGTTAAATCCTCTGCTTCGAAAGGTGTTTCTAGGGTTTGAAGATATTTGCCTGGTGTAATAGACATGGAACGAAAGGAGCAGTATGCAATGTTAGACTACCATGCGTTATACTTTATGTTGATCTAAAGAACTCATACTTAATATGGACACCAAAGACCCAAAGTAGTGATAGAAATCAAAGTATATTCCGACCGCTAACTAATTTCGAATGTCGGGCTGGATACAGTTCGAAGATCGAGCTAGAATAGACGAAGCTCTATAAAAGATTAACATCTGGGCCAAACAGTTCGATTCATTTGCGATATCATCCTTATATATTAAATTCTTATCAAAATAGGTCCTCAGCTAACAAATAACTATATCAGACGACTTCCAAATCAGTTCGGTGATTTCTGTTTACTTAATTAAAGCATTGTCATAAGTTGGTACGAGCTAACGTCGCCAGAAAGGAGCACAAAAACCATACAAACACAATAAACGCACTCTTTTCATTCTCAAAACTCCGGTACGTATTTTCCTGAACCATAATGGCATTAGTTTGAACTATGCCAAGTTAGCATATATAGGCATGTCTGTCAAGCAGTGAGGTCAGTGTATCCTAGACAAGCAAAAAAAAGATTAATATCAAAGAATGAAAAAGCTTTTCTGCGCTTCTATCCGTTCGCATACTTTTCACACATGCCATACGTACCATCCGTCTGGTCGGGTGAGTGTGAATCCAAACTGTGGGTCGGTGGCGACGCTCACTCGAATGCCGATGAGACCGTTGCCCTCTCGGCCAATCACTCGTCCTCGAATCACCGACACGCGACTGGGTGGGTTGGTCAACACCGACACCGTTAGTAGCTGAGAGTGCCCAACCACCCCCGGGGGTAAACCCGGGAGAAGGAAGACAACTCAATCCACAACATTAAGGTGGTGACAATAACCACCCAACCTTACTACTAGAAAACTAATCTGAACGACTTACATTTACAAGTATATATGCTAATTGTTCTCTATCTATGTAGATGTTTAATGGGCGACATTTGGTAGCATCGTCTGATAAGTGTAAGATGACTAAAACTTGCGCAGCGTGAGAAAGAGAGACAACGTAAACGAGCCTGCACGCTGATTGACTAAACTAGGACCTCTAGGCTATAAAAGGCTTAAGTCTAGATGTATTACATCAAAAATAGATTCCAAGCTTCTTGCTAGGCAGTTCCTAACAACTTGTCCTATATACTTCGGCTCTTCTTCGTTGATAAAGATTGCAGAATAAAGGGTGGAATCGACTCGCTCTTTGCTGCGCTGCGACGTTATATGTATTTGTCATCTCATGTATTTTTTTCATTGGTATATATACTTTTATTACACATTCTTGTCCAACTTATCCGTCCAACTTCTCCGGCCCCTCTCGGGTTGTCATCGTTTGAAGGCTCGAGCGATTGTACCCACAGAGCCGCAAGCCACCATCGCTTTATTGCAACAGTAACAGCATTAACAACAACGAAACTCTAGATCGCGTAGTACCAGCAACAGCACTCAAACGCTTGCACATCGGACACCGGCCAGCCTACGCGGCCCGACTGCACGGGTAAGTTGGGGCAGTTTCTCAATAAGAAGGAAGCACATGTGAACATACATGTGCTTTCTTCCTACAGGTGAAATGAAACATGGTTCTGTCATAGCTAATCAGCTTCCACAATGAAAGGAGCAACGGGTAGGGCGCGGATGGGAAATAGAAAACTGCAGGAGGCGGTGCAACGTTATGCTTCTGCGATTTGCGAGAAGTGTTGTGCGTTCCTCTGCTGCTATTGCTGCTGCCCCCGTTAGTCGGGCCGAGGCTCTGTAAGCCGATTTTCCTTTCTTAACCAGCAGGTGTCGTCGTCCAATTCCTCAGTATGCTTTCTGCCCTTCGTACCAGTCGAGTCTATGTTGTAACGACACAAGAGTACAATTGCAATCGCGAGGCGGTAACGGAGCTATAGTTGCGGGAACTACTGCAGCCGCCAACAACAAGCGGCAATCACTGAGCAGGGCGTGACCAGACGAAGTGCGGTAGTACTTCCTCATGCTCGTTCAACTTGAGCCCTTCAGCTTCAACAGCTGTCGCCAATGCAACAGTGGTCTGGCTAATGTCGTTACAGAATGCCGCCCACATTTCGGAAGTGGGGGCTTCGTCATGTGAAAAACGAAGCTCAGAGAGAGAAGACAGAACGGGTTGAGAGGTACCGAAGAATATGGATGTAGACTATAAGCCAACGCTGCTGCTGCTGCTGCCGCTGTAGATTACGGTGACGATCGTCCTCAGGAGTAATGGGACGTTGCTGAGTGAAGAGGCTTGCAAACCATATCGCCTTTCACGATAAGACCTCGTTCAATGATTGGTGGTCAATGGACAGGCCGGAGAAGAGTGGCGGAAAAGTTGTACCAGAGTTCACACCCGGGGGTCAACAACGTGCGCGACTTCATTTAGCCCACTCGTGCAGGCCACATACTGTATAGTTTGTCTAGCATAGACAAGGCTATCGAAAAATGTATCACCGAGACTTCTGGCAAGGATTTTTAACCGACCGCGCGAATGAAGCTCTCAACCTGGGTGAGTGACCAATTTTAGATGACCGTTGACTATGACAACAAGGTCATAAGGTCGATGCATTCGCGTGTAGTGATTTCAAAGTTGAAACACTTCCTGTTAGTTGCGCGGTCCGCAATGGCGGTGCTAGATCCTAGAAAGAAGGCGGGAGTAGATCTCGATGCGTTGTTCATGATATCAGAATCGTTCATGTAGGAGGACATTCGATACGTTTTCCCATCTTCAGATTTGCATCTTGAACCCGGCTGACTATTATAAGATACGCATGTTCTTACAACTGGGTACCAAATATATTCGAAAACCGGCTTTTACCATACGCGGTAAACAAATAACATGTGGCTTATGGTACTAAAATGCAAAGAATTTACATCTAAACGTTGGCAGAATGTCTCTATTGATAGACGGGAACACGAATACTTTTTAGCTAAATAAACAAATAGGAGAACAAAATATCTGTGGCCTTATCTCTGCTATAATAATTTTGAGAAGACGCACTTTCGATGCTACGTGTAACCTATAACGTGCACTTTACGAAAGAGGCAAATGCTGTAAAATGGAATTGTTTACTATTACTTGTAACTATATAAAGCCAATTCCATAATGGCAGTTTTGGTAATCGTTAATAGAGTATAAGTGGAGCGGTGTATACGATAAAGTAATTGAACTAAGTTACCGAAAAGAAGAACTTATTTACAAGCATAATGAATGTCTGCAGATCCTACCCATCTTGACGTGATTATGTAATCCAAATTTCAATGGCGGATTTTTTGAGCTGTAGTGATCGTCAGCGGTGAGTAAGACAGTTAGCGTGGTATTAGTTGATGAGAAGATCGCGCACATACACGATTTAGATTATGATATATATATATGATTGTTATGTTGCCGAAAAGTTTCTATTAGAAAGATTCATATCGTTTTAGTCTATCTAAGACCAAAGCATCTGCCTTCGTAGAGAATACATTTCAAGGATGCAGCTTCAATCAAAGCTTCATGATACAACAATATGAAATACAACGACAATTTGATAACTAAACGTCATCTTCCCTAGAACCAAGAGAAATCAGCTTCACATAAACTGCGGGCCGCGGGATTTCAATAACAAATTGAAAGAAAGTGTAAAATCCACTAGGCATAGAAGACCAGGAATAATTATAGTTTACTATCCACTGATTGAGCATTTCACACGAAGCCAAACGCAGACAAGTACTGAATAGGTTAATAGAAAAGAAATGAATAAAGCAAAAATAAACGACCAATAACTGAACTGTATTCCCGGATGGTATCAATGTGGGTACATGACTATATAAAATATATATCTATAGACAAATAAAATAGGACGTAATTGATGCTTGAACACGAAACAGATCTCGGTCGGGGCCCGCTCGAAATTTTTATAGCGCGGCTTGATGAAGGCACACGCCTGAGTCGGGTCGGCCACGATAAACACGTAAAAGGTGAAAACACACATTGATATGCCCCTGCAATTCAGCGTAATACAACGCGACCGGTGCACGCTCTGCCTAGCACAAGTCAGTTCCAGCTTAGGGACATTTCTTTGTTCGACGTTTCCACCGGACTGCTGCGTGATTTTTCTCGGCCGATGGCCGGCGACACTCACCACTAAGGACAGAACGTGTCGAATTAGGATTTTTTTTTAGTTTCACGCTGAGAGTACGTTTGCTGTTGCGATCATGAGCGGGGTAATTTTTTCTGCTCCATTTCATGTATGCTTTCATATTTTTGCTGAACCTTCGGCCTTCGACGTCACGACCTCCCATTGGCATGAACTTTGGTGCGACTCACGATTGTAGCAATTCACTGGAATCATTTTTAGCTGTTGCAGCCTCAGTGATTGCTATAACCGTTTCGTGTGGCTCTATTTGGGTCACTGTTTATTGTTCCTTCACTTCTAGTTTGATTCAATTCGACGATCACGAATGAAATGTCTTACAAAAAGTAGGAGAGAACGAATACGAGTAATTGCAGGTATTAATTCGTTAAGTGACAGGACAAATTATTTACAGAGATCAAAGGTGATCTTTAATAGCAACATTCGCTTGCTGTGTCGCACCAAAACTCACCTTTTTACGAAGGCACTCCAAAATTGGCTGCGAAGTACAAAAAGAATTATATAGAAACATGTAGAACCAACACGAATAACATGAAACAACAACAACAACAACAACAACAACAACAATACGATTTTTGTTGCCCACTACGTTGTAACATTAACGAGAGAAATAAGTCTACGTCTGCTACTAGATGACTAAAACTATTTTGCAGAGAGCGACACGCAAAATGTCCAATACATTCACATAGAGACATGTATTAGTCTCAATGTTGCTAAGAGCAAGCTTAATAAGGTTTCAGAGTAATTTCATGTATTTTTTCCTTAAGCAGAAGGGGCAATGGGTGCTGCAAATTTTGGTTGTTTCTTTTTTTAGTTTAGTCCGCGGCAAAACATACAGCCCATGTATATCTATTATATGCACACTACGGAAGCGAGAGGCGAGTATGTAATTGACAGCAAGAAAGGTAAACAGGGCTGGGGCAAGTGTCTGGTGAGCGCACTTTGTTTATATTTTTCTTTATGCTTTCTTTCGACCGCCGTTTCCTCCCCCTCGACACTAAATCGATTGTCCAAGTCCTGTGTTATCAAGATGAAGAGACCAGATGGGGAGCTGTGGCCTATTGTGATAATATTAGTGACTTGACCCATAGGTGGGATCTGGTGCGAGTCGAAGAGAGTAAGGAAGCTTGAGCGTCGTTGAACGATTTCAATTATCCCGCACCCGCCACTCGGTGCTAACTCGACAGCTCGGCAGACACACATGTATGAGACAGGTCAGTCAATCGGACCTAGACATGTTAAAGGAACAGCGAGAAGGACACGGAAGTAGAATGGAAGAGGAACGATAGAATAGGTAGTGCAAGGGAAAGGATTTGTTTTTTATTGTTACAATTATCGGCTCTTGCGAAAACAAAATAAATATAATTTTTAACCCACTCTTAGCGTACCCATGATGATCTGGTTTGCTCTTTGACTCAGGCCACGGACATCCAGTCTACTGCAGTTACTATCAGTACTGCCTGGTGTCCCGTTCGAAACGTTTTCTTGACGACCTTTTCTGCCGTTCTGCCTGCTTTGCCCAATTCTCGCAGTATATTTGAGCTAACTAAAGAGCCATTCAATCCATCGGAAGGTAGGTCATAATTCTACTAGTGTTTACGCCGTTGCCCCCTCTTTTCCTTTGTTGTATCATTTTTCTATTTTTCTGATAATGCGGTATGACAAGCAGAAAACGCAATACAATATGTTTGGGCTAAATATGCCTGTTTAAGTGAGGAACCCATCTGGGACTCTATTAAGGAAAAACATTAATAGAGGAAACGAGACGGTGTCAGTTAGAATTTTCCCTTCTAGTAAATGTAGCTGTATGTCAGAAAACAAATGACTCAGCAAATTCGCTGACCGTACGACAGATGGGACAAATCTTGCCTCTCCCTTAATGAAAACGTATAGATAGATAACACGAAATATGTAAAAAACATGGTGTATATTTTATGCCACGTACTAAACATTTGACATATGGAGAATTTAGTTGGACTTGCGTGATTTTTATCAGCCTTTTTTGGTTCTCCTATTACCTTTTTTTTTTCGAAACGTATAACACAGAACGAACAACGGATAACGAACAACAAACAGATCCGGGCGACTCTCTCGCGTGAGAGCGAACCTCGGATAAAGGATGGCATAAAGCTCTTCCCTTTCTGATACATACAACATATGAGTGAGCCAACACGCATGCACACTTTAACAACATGAAACGACTAACAGAGTTGTAAAAAAGCGAAAAATAAGCTTTTTTTTCAAAAGGGGCGGGAAGGAGATGGTGGGGCGGTAACCAAAATGAAGGACAAGTAGGGGCAAAGTGAGAGCAAATGGCATACGGTGATGTGAGAGAATCAGGTATGACTTGACATGATCTAACGTAAAACCGTCCATGATAGGTTGCCGTTACTGTCATAATATTACGTTGAATATTAAACACGATTCAATGATCTATGACTAGTCACGGACTATGTAATGCCGTTTTGAGACTCGATCTGTTAAGATCAAGGCCGATCATATGGAGGCATCAAGATATGTGTGAGGGAGCGGTAACTTGGAATTGTGAGTCATGCAGTTGGATTGCTGGTGCTAAGGAACGATTCTAGGAAACACACGCACAAAACATTAATGATAATAAACTAACAAACGAATTGACGGTGCCCTACCTCTCAGAGTACTCGTCCTTATGCGAGTAACTCTGCACTGAGTCTTCCTCGATGAGGAACTTCATCTTCTGATAGAATGACGCGGTTACTGGGGGTGGCTGCTTGCGCAGCAGGATATCTTGGGGTTCCGGTGAATGAATGCACAGCAAGCTGTCTTGGCACTCTGGCCGATAACAGCACTCACTGTCTGCACAATCGATAAGTCCATCTGCAAACGAAAACGTATTACTCATGTATAATAATTTCCTTATTATAATACATGCTTTGTGATGTTTATTAACAAAAAGCAGAGTTGTCGAAGAGTAGTTGGCAGTACCTAGTTTCTTACCTCCATCATTGTCAACCTCGTCCTTGCACTTGGTCTCCTGGTGAACGCTGCAGTCTCTTCCACCCCAACCGCTCTGGCAGTTACATTTCCATAACGAACTCGCTTCATCCTTCACACAGCTGCCCTTGTTCGAGCAACCGCTTGGGCAGCCCTCTGAAGTACGTCGATCATAACATGTAAGTTTAATTTCGGAGATGTGAGCACTGATATATGCACACTAAGTTGAATATGTTGAAACTTTCTTTTCACTTTAAACCAGCACAAGCAGAGAAATTGAGAGAAAAAGAATCTACAATTCGTTAATTCTGCCGGATGATCTGTATTTATTTTAATGAAAACCATACACCCCAAAGTAACACTGAAGTTGTTTCGTCAACCGATGGCCTGAGTGGGCACAACTAGCTCTAACGCAAGAGAAGCGCGTTAGAAGGATCAAAAAATAAGGTAATATATATAATATCTTCATATTGATTACGATTATAAGACAAGTACCTCAATGTGTGGCATACACTAACCTATTGTACAATGTTTGCCCATCCATCCCTGTATACATATGCAGGTGCCATTGTTGCACTGTCCATGTAGCTGACAGCGGGGATCACATTCGCGCAGGTCGCATTTGCTACCAGTCCAGCCCGGCTCGCAGCGGCACCGGCTCTCTTCACATCGTCCAAATGCGCCGCAGTCCAGATTGCATTTGGCTACACGGTAAAGAAACGCAATATAGAAAAGTGTCAATAGATGACGGATATATTCCAAATAGCTGAACACCTATTTAATAAATTACGGTAAAAATGAGAGCTTACAAGATCATATCGTACCTTGCTAAGGAACGCTCAACCATTGTCGATAAGCTAGAAGCTTGTCCTTGAAAAATAACCAGGCTTTATCAGTACTAGTTAAGGCTTTATTTAGAAAAGGTTAGATAGAAAGGGGGCGCTACTTGCCCCAGCGAAACAAAAGTCCAACACGATTCATGTGGGTAAATAAAGTAATTTATTACTATTACAAACTCGGTTTGGATCCTACTAGATCATAAATTCAGTCAAAAAAAGTCGTATTCGCTTTAGAACAAGAGAAATTCGCATAAATTAATAGATAAGGTCAAAACAATTGTTTATTTATTAGGCCAGTACTGACCCCTGGAACAATCGCTGCCCGTCCAGTGATCAAAACAAACGCACTTCTCAGCTTCAAGATCGTAGACTCCGTGCTGCGAACAATCGGGAAAGCATCGGTTCAGACGGTCGTCTGGTTCCGAGCAATTTTGGCCACGCCAACCAATTTTGCAATGGCAGAGGCCCCCAGAACACACCCCGTGTGAAGTACACGATGGGTCAAGGCAGTCCACTAAGAGAGGATATCAATAATAATAAGCGGTTAGTTATTTTTATACCGAATCTAATATTGTCAAAAATTAACCTGCTGTGTTATCGAATTTAGGATTTCAATAGTCCAGTTGGGAGTCTCGGCAGGCAAATTCTCTCTAAAATGTTCTTTAAACAAAAATATACGTATTGGTCACGAAACGATTGTAAAACGGGGCGGTAACCCAGATATGTTTAAATTGAACAGTTGAATGAGTTGTTGTTAAAAACGTAAAATGATGAAGAATCACCTTTTTCGCAAGCCGGTCCAGAGAAACCTGGTTTGCAGACACATTGTCCTCGATTTGAACACCGTCCGTTCCCATTACAATCTGGAACTTCACAATCCCTCTCGAAAACACCGCACTCAGCCCCTTTCCAGCCTACGTCACAGCGACATACGCCTTGCACAAAGCGTCCATGCCCGTTGCAAAGTACGGGGCAAACACCTGTTATAAGTAATGACAAATAATAATAAATTCAGATATTAAATGGTTTATAAAATTGCTTTAGCGCATTGGCACATACTGTATTGTTCCACGTTTTATAGCTAGATATTTTTTTAGAAATTAGGAAAACTTTCGGGTAACTTGGAGAAAAACGGTTTCAGTTCTTCCTGTATTTATAAATCTGAATGAGATTCTCGTCATGCAAGTGATTTTACGTTGTCGTAGGTACTTTCGAAAAACCAGGCTTAGTCTGAACCTGAAGGTAAGTGACATAAATAATCTTTATATTGTTAACAAAAAATTATGCAACTGAATAATACTTTGTTATCTCTAATCATAGCACTAGAACCGTTTAGCCACTTAATAATTAAACTTATCGATATACGTGAACAACCTTCAAAACAAACAACAACGCAGACAATCCTTACAGTGATACTCACTGTCAGAACAGTCCGACCCGGAGTATCCTGGATGGCAGGTGCATTTGCCCATTTCGCAGTGGCCATGTCCGGAGCAGCTGTTAGGACACAAGGTAGAAACGTCGAAGGCAATAGATGCTGAAATCGCCATTGTCGTCTCCAAGAAGTCGTCGTTGATGATACTTACGTACCACGTTCCAGACTCCAGGAAATGCACCAGCTCGACCTCTTCTAACTGTTTATGTAACGGATTAAACAAGACAGAACGCCAACGGCAGGACAAAAAACGTGATTTTGACTCTGCTTACACATCAATTTTACCTAAATAAATGTTTCCTGTTACATTAAATACATTGTTCAGTGAAGCCGAAAACACGAGGGTCATAAAGAATACTAAAGCTTACGTCTCAAAATCAAATGAAGTAATACAAAAAAGTTAAAGTGCTTCATATATAAAGCACATATACACAGAGTGAGAGAGTGGGGGCTCATTTGATTAATGATCGAAACCATAGTTAGCAGGTACGCTCCCTTGTGTCTGCCACCATATACATAGGCCTTCATAGAAATCACTAACGTTTTGATTTCACTCGTGATGCCATGTTTACTATTATTAACTTCTGTAAATGCGATTTTCGTTGACATTGTGTGTATTACTTACTCTTCGACTCGTACTCTATTCTTTCTCACAGCAATACAAATGCAATTCATCGCAGAGAAGCTAAGTATACGGTAATGGTAAATTTGGACACATCAATGGCATACTATGCAAGTAGCACGCGCACGCTTTCGCGCAGCGAGCCTTCATTACATTGCCGGTCAGATAAAGCGAAGTCTACAGTTTGCAAATGTTCGTCGTGACACCCAACTAACAAGTCGCGACAGGTAGGAGAATATAGCCACAGGAGAAACTGGTGCGCTTCTGTCTACGAATGTCTCGGGAAAGAAGAGATACAGACGTGGACGGAAAAGAATCTGTATCTGTTTTCGTGCTACGGCAATGCGTCCTTACGTCGGCCTACTTCCGCAGAGTCAATTTGGCGTAATGGTTTTACCGTTCCCACACTCCTCCTGTTCCCACCGTCGACTATGACCCCAACTATGTGTCGTCGCACTGCAGGTGCGTCATTGGAGGAAGGAAAGCAATATACCATTTCCCTGCCCTCACTCTCCCGATCTGCGTTTCTTAGCGGATGTCGCTTGTCAGATCGATAGTCGTCAGCCGGCCTCGCTGCCACCTAGATGGTAGAGCCGATGTCGCTTTTGTCCGTGTCATGCGGGCACGACGACGTATTTGTGCAATTCCATCTGTGCGCCCTTTTCCGTCCACCCTCTCTTCATCTAGTACCCCACTGTCTTTTTACATGGTTCCTTCGATGGGGAGCCCTTGAGACAGCACAAATGCTGCAGACCGAAAAAGGCAGTCGACAAAAAGGGGAAAGCCAACGTGGCAAAGGTATGGATAACTGTGGGAGCCAGTGTAGAGTGCCGCAAAAAAGAAAAAAACGGTGCAGACAAATAAGTCATCTGCTTTGCAGATCACACAGGCGAGTATACATCTTAAAGCAAACTCGGAACAGCTAACACGCACAGACTCGCCACTGCGAGCGGCAGCTCCACGCAGGAGTAAACAAACAATCAAACCGAGAGAAGTCTCCACAGGAAAACTCACATCGTACGGAACCGCACGCAATCGTCAAATCGTAGACGATAATGCGTCCGTCCGCCTTACCACTTACGGGACCCATGATACTGTCTTGTCACCAAAAAGGGACCCACTGAATCGGACCGAAAGCCGGTCTTTCCGTATACTTCGAAGTCTATGCTTAAACCAATACACAACTGAGGTGTACATATCTCAGTAGTTGGCATTTTCAAAATAATAGAGGTATCAATGAATTACATTTATTCTTTTAAGCGAATGTTCACGTATAATTGGTGGCTGGTCAACACGTTTGAAATTTAATAAACATATTTCAATAAACGACATTATTTATGCCATTGTTTCTATATATTCAGGTGCCTGAAAATCACGTATGCGTGAAATGTCTACGTGGTGGTTCAACCAGCCAAAATGTTGGTTCTGGACGCTTTCATGAACGTCAAATAGTTAAGAGCTCCTATTGACCCATTAGAAGACCCATCGGCTATATTTTCCTAGTATAGCTACACCGCTCGATTCACAAGAGATATTGCGGGCAAGCAGAAGAGACTCTAGCGTCATTCTAACTGATCGTGCACAAATGTTAGAGGTATTTTCCCCATAGAGAAAAAAGAAATATATATATATATATATATATATATAGCATATTATGCGACCCTGTCAATCTAAAACTATACACTCATAGATACTATACATATAACGTTAGGCTCCTACAGGCGGATCCGGCGAACTTTGAAATTAAGTAACCTTTGAACTAGAATGATGATTCTTTTCGTATGTGTTAGAATAACTCTTCTTTTTTACACGCTTGTCTCTGCGCTCCGGGACCTTTTGGACAGGAGTGTACAATTACCATTTACGTTCCTGTATGTAATTTGTCGATGCATGGCTTCTCGAAGTAAATCGATAGTGGGATATGCTTCCTTATTAGCTGCCCTTTTTCAGGGCACGAAAAGTTCCGTAACCATACGATTTTAGGTGGGAAGAATGACCGGATTAAGGATTAATAAATGAGGCATAGCGCTGAGATCTGGCATTATTATCAAGTAACCAGCCTGCGTGCTCTTAATTACGATGCATATGATTTGTGAATCTCTTAAAGAAAAGGAAAGTTAAAAATAGCTAAAAGATAGCAGACTGCTCGATTGTTACATTTTAGGCGAGTTGCAGGCGCTCCTAGCGAACGTTCGAGACTGCTAAATGTTGCCGCTGAACTCGATTTCTCCCCAGGACGATGCCATTCTTTCGCCTCGTCCCTTCGAGGTAAATTTCGATATTAACATATGTTTATCCTCTAAAGTATTTACCAGCCAAATTTTGGCCTGCTAGCGGCCCTTAGTTCAAAAATGATCCAAACTAAAGTTCCACTTGTAACAGCCCGACAAGTAGCATCGATTTCACACTACTTCTACTAGATATTGTTAGATTTAACTGAAGCAATACTCACCGTCATGCCGACTGTTCTTCGGCGTCTGGGTGATGCTGGACTGTTATTTGTGCTCATATGAAATTCGTCGACTTGAGGGGCTTCGCTACTTATTGTCTCCCGGAACGCATTAACAGTTAGCGTTGGTGGATTATTCTTTCCAGCAAACAGAGCTAGTTTACAGCCCTGCTGCGTGGTAACGTTGAAGCGTACGAAAGCCGGTTCATGATGGTTGAACCAGATATTCCATGATTCCTGCGGGGCGATGGTGTGCGTCATTTCATCACCGAGCTTAATTTGTTGAAACCTCTCGGCCTGATGTGGGATCAACCTGCATCCACTGCCGGACGCTGGCGCGGGACCTGTCATTATAAAACGACCATAATTAAGTACTATGTTAGACTCAGCTGTTAATGGTCTTTCCCACTTTTTCCATGTTGTCAGAAGGCGCTAGACCTCATCCATGTAAAAGAAGAAGAAAAGTTCTACTTAGTAAAATGAAGCTATTCTATTGCTAACAATAATATTTTATGAGAAATATTCTGCTGGCAATATTCTAAATACATTTTCTTGTTCGCTGCAGTGGCTCCTCTAATGCTTTTTGTTGCTCTTTTTTACCGTTGAGTATTCTCGAACATTTTTTATAAATTTTGTGGACGACGTAATTGACACTATATGTCAAAATGTAATTACTTTCAATGAAACGCAAAATGGGGTGCCGTGAAAGAATGAGGATTCAAATGACGTCTACAGCGGTGCAGCAAATCAGGCCGGCGACTATGTATTCTGGCAGTGGGCAGCAAGCAAACGTCAGACAAACTTTTTACAGCCGGAATATAGGCACCCTGTTCCGTAGTTCAAACTCAAAATTAAATTACGATTCGAATAAACTTTCGCTGGTACAGTTCTAAATATCGACATCTCTCTAGTAGCGTAAATCACTTGGGGAACGCCTCAAATTGAAGGTAGATGAGGTGTGTATTCCATTATGTTCGGGGCAATAATTCATGGTACAGTTGAAGGCTATGCTTACAAGCGCTTCACCATTGCCCACACAAATGAAATTTACCAATGTTTAACCTATTCTAAAAAAAGGTCGCTGTACCATAATAAATACGCTCTTTTCGGAATCCATATTGTAGTTTCATTCGGTCGTCTTGGCTTGTTTGGTTTTGATCGATTCTTCCGTGGACACGTCCAAATTATAAAATAATGCAATACATTGTTTCCAGCATGCGAGAATAGTGCACTACTCGCCTTTAATAGCCATAGAATCTGAGGCAGTTTTTTGTGCTGGTTGACGATCGATACAGGGTGGAGGATGTTGAAGTGCGGCTTCGTCCGTAAGGCCTCCAACCATTATGCAACTTGAAGGGTCCATACCGGGACTAGCAGCTAAATAGCCAGCCAGTGTCGCCAACAGCACCGAAATCATGAGGAGACCTAACGTTGCCAATCGCCAGCTGCATCGGTGGCCCCCACACGCCTTCTGTAGATGTATGCGAGAGCTTTCGATCGTCGCGGAATTGAATAGCGTCGAGAACGGTCGGCCCGGTGGCGAGTTCTGTTGTGCGGCTTGTGCTTGTGCCTGCAGTTCGGCTGCTGCCGCGGCGTTGATACTCTGCTGAATGAGTTGAGGATTAATACATCCAGCCACAGGCACCATTGGCCCTGTCGTTGAACATGGTGTGGCACAATATACCGGGATTGTGTTGGAGTACGTAGCGTTGCCTAATACAGCGGTTTGCATAAGGCTCGCCAGAGGGCCTCCACCGCCTGACATAGGCCCTCCACCAGGCCCTACGGTTCCTGGTAATACGCCTCCGTGGTTCCGTTCCGTTGAACCTCCTCCACTACTATCCTTATCGCTGAGTTTTGATTCTTGGGTGATTATGTTCTGTGGCTGGCAGTAAACCCTACAAATAAGATAATCAGATACGTAAGGAATTTGGTAATCTACACTGGATTTGGTAATACACAAATCGACTGTCTGTATTGGCTAATTCCGATCAAGTGATCATGAGACGCACTTGGACCTATACATTCGCCGCCTACGTACGTATCTCTGAGCAGATATCAGGAATGGATCTGATATGTAAAATAGGCCTACCTTTCATTTTCTCTTCGATTGATCGAGTTACGAAGTTGATCTTCAGGATTTGCTATGTCTGAAACGTCATGGTTAAATATGGTAGCGTTAGTGCGTCACAAGATTCAAAGCCTGTGACTCTCAGCCCTACTTTGCAACAAAGCAACGTTAAACGTATGAGAAATTGTTCTGTTGTTGCCAAAATATGCCTGATATGTGAAAACACTCTTTATCACCTCGCCTATTATGCATTTTTTTTCCTGCTTCGCAACGTCATAGATGCTTTCAGGGTCATTAAACATCGAATCCAAACTGAAAAAACATGTTCAGAATGACGGGGCCATTTTCTCAGCAAACAACAGGCAATACTCGTTTTTATACAGTCACTCATTAATTTCGTATCTTGGTGTTTGAAGCAGACAAAGCCTATTGTATCGTACAACTGTTGTTGTACTATCCTACCAGGAGTGGCATAATGTCCCATGACGTCGCTAAGGTACTCCCCATCGTCATCAAGTGCATTATCGTGCTGCTGTCCACCTGGGCCAGCCGCGTCCATGTACCCAGCAAGTCGCGCCCGCAACGAGTCTGCAGTCGAATAGTTATTGCGGGGTGGAACGTTCGGGGGTGCGGGGTCCGGCGGACTATCTCGCAAAGCTGCATAACGAATAGAAACACGCGTGTACAAATAGAGATTATTTCGCTTTGCTCATAGTTTTCTGTCTAACAGTAATTTTTATCAGTGGATGACAGCAGTTAGTAATGGCACAGAGTCCAGATTTTGCCAAATGAATTACTCGAACGGAGTTAAGTGCCGAGGTAACTTTTTGCTTGTAGGAGCCCAAGCGTTAGTTAGCCCTAATAAGCCATAATTTAAGTAACATATACGTTCGGCCCATATAAAGCGTTATTGAGTTAGCGAAACGCTTTACTGGGGGCAGTATAAACAATATACAACACTCGACAGATCACCTTGGACCAATTATTTGCTTTCTGTTGAGCGTTCTGGCAACAGATTGAACCGTCATTATTGGTGATCCATTCTATGGTGCTGCTTTAGGTAGTATACACACAATACTTGTCATTATAAGAATAAACATTTCTATTTTCAAGGTCTAAACTATCAATGATAAACATGCAGCTGAATGGATCTCTTTCAATAAACAGATTTTTCTAGTATGCGTATGAAAATGCATTAGCGATTTAAAAACGGGCCCTGCTCAAATAAATTATTGATAGTAATGTTGTTCTTTATTTATTCATTCATTCTTACTCAGTATACTAGATAGTAGAATAGCGTGTCCTCAATGGGTTAAAAGCTTGTAGGAAGACTTGCGCGAAATCTAAGAAGGTTCTTAATCTTTGTTCGGTAATGTCTCCGTAGTCGAACTCCTAATGGAAGAGCTGAAGGTACGATCGTGTTGTAGGTAACTGCAAGGACGTAGAGGAAAGGAACACTGTCCATACACGTCCCTGTGTATTCGGTATGCGTGTATTAGCTACCTATACTCGATCGTGTCGGACAACTCAGAAATAGCTCACTAATAGCGATCGACCGTTCCACCAATCCTCTTTCTCGCTGTTTGCGAAAGGAAGCGGGCGACGACTAGCCACTGCCTGTGATATGTGCAATCCATAAGATAGTCAGCGCTAGCCGGCATCGGCCAATGTGGCTATATGCTGCGGAAAACGAAGGCTTCTACGTAAGATAGCAAAGAAAGTGATAAGCAGAAAGAGGATGAAAGAGACGACGAGGCTACTAGACAGACTCGTCGCTTACTTTTTATCGCGATACCATATAGCCATTGGTGTGGTAGGCCAGCTCTTATGAGATTTTCCCTACCTTTGTTGCTCTTTTTCCGTCCAGATATAATAAGAACAGAAGCACAACGATAACATCAACAGCAATAACAACGTCAACAACAACGAGCTAAAAGACTACAGACACACAACGCATGCGCACAACGATCTATCTTTTTCTGCGATGATTCGGAAAATAAAATGGGAGGAAATGTAACGATTCTTGCAGCTTTCAGCTGAGGCACGGCAGGGACGGAAGGCAAAGATGCACGTATTCGCCCACTTAGCTATGCATGCTACTGGCTAGTTGGAAAGGGCAGACGAGCGAAACTACGTATGACTGATGATGAAGACGGTGGCTGTAAACATTGATTAAGGCTTTCAGTTGTATCCCCATGTAAAAATAGGGTGGATTATAATGCCGGCTGCTTGCTAAGCTCAGGAAGTGAAAGAACAGTTGACTGTTTCTGATAAATACCTTATAAATAGTCAGAAGAAGCGATGCGCACATCAAACTACGCATTCACCGCGCTTGATGGGAAAACGACCATGACCGATCATACCAGGTAAATATGGCTATTTGTCGTTTTCATATGGATTTATAAAAACACATGGCCATATATGTGCCACATCAACTCTAGGTATCGCATGAAAATGGAAATATTTTGATTAAAGGCAATATGTACTGGTGTTAATAAACTAGCCAGGGCTTTTTTTTTATAATCCCGTTTGCACAGAATACCACATACGACAGCAAGAGAAAATTAAATACATTAATACAAACTTCAACAGCTGTAAACGTACTTGAATCCCTGCTGACGGCCACCATCCTCCTTTGTTGCTGCTGAGGTTGTTGCTGCTGTTGTTGTTGTTGTTGTTGTTGTGCACTGCTCGTCGTCGTACTTTGTAGGTGGGCAGTTTCGCTGTCAGTATACTCCGACTGGTTGTCCGAAGTGGAGGACGACGAAGGCCCTCTGCGGAGGCCCATCTCCTGACCAGCCGCCTGACCACCACTGGCACCTCCTGACGTGGCTCCCCCGGTACCGATCCGCCCACTTGGCCGACCCGAGCCGCCACCGCTGTTTACCACCTGACCCCGGCCGGAATGTCCATTTCGATGACGAGACCCTTTTGAACCACTGGTCTGCCGCGGCAACGAGCCTAAATAGAAATCGATTAAGTAAGTACGTGCGCGAAGGATAAAACGTGTCAAACGATATCCTTTCAACCGCTAAATAAAGTTATTTTTATTGTCGATTCATTCTCTACATTGAAATAACATAATGTTAGTCCTTCGTTTAAACAAGAGTTTGTTAAAATGCGCGTAAGATACATGTTTTGAAGTCGTCCATTAAGTGTGCATTCATATGCTGGACAAACTGCATAAATATTTCGTTCATTAATTACGGGCCAGATATTTTTAGTCCGCAACACTGCATTAGGCTTAAGGCCTCATTGGCTATTTCATAACAGTTAGTAGTGAATAGGAAAATTTTTCGATTAAATGAATAGAATCGAAACGGATAGTCGAAAAATTGTGATGAACCCAACCCACGTGCGCCAGCACACCCCCATGCACGATCCCGTACTCTGGATAGAGGTGAAACTTACATTTACGTTGCGATAAAAACTTACTTAGACAATTATTCATATAACTGACATCTGAACGGATAACGCCAACTTGTCTTGTGGTATTGATTACAATTCAATCATGTTGTATTTTTATTTTGACTTCTGGGCAGAATTTAATAGCAGCATTATTGCGCTGGTAATTGTGTGAATAAAGTTGAAAATATTAACTTGTGCTAGCGCATTTATCAGTAATTACAAATCGAGCTATAGCAAACTATGGGTGCATTGGCAGGTCAAATGGGAATTTCACTTTCTAACTTACTCTAAGTTGTGATAGCTTTTTGAGAAATAATTCGTTTGGCTTTTTAAGGTCTCTCTTCATGGTTTGGGAACATTGCGAAGTAATACTTCGGTTAATGGAAAACGTGTCGGCAGAACCAACGAATTGATAAGATCGATTTGTGTGCTAGTGTTTTTGTTTTAAATTGCCTCTTTTCTGTATTGTGGTGGTTGCATCCGAATAGATGTGGCCTAATGGAACCAGGCCAGGATTAGAAATCGGCAGAGAAAAAATTTCCACTTGAGATCTCTCTCAATTCTTTGGGCCGCCAGAGCCCTATGGAGTCGAATGAACTCAGGCTACAAGGCCCACCTGTGTGGATATTGAACGTCGTCATATTGTTAATCTTTTTTAAAGAGCCGGACGTGCTAAATCCAGTAAGCAGTTATCATTGCACTTTGTTTCCGGAGTTGATAACAGAGAACCCCTTCGGATCCCATCGAATTATGCTATGTAGAGGCCTTCTCGTAAACGTAACGATTGCTTTTTCATTTCCGATATTGATTTTCTATAGAAATGACTTTTCTTTTCTACCGCAAGAGAAATTATATGAATTCTTTCAACGCGTTGTCGGCAATAGCCCTTCTCTAAATTTATGCACAATTTGCTTTATCGTCATAACTATGTTCCCTGGTGGACGTGGATGACACAGACAGTAATGTCGTTAACTTCCAACTGAGTGGAGAACCTCTAGAGTAACCGGCTAGAGTTTTCGAGCTGGCAATTGATTATTATCTACCTTTTCCTATCGTTCGGGGCGTGGCTTTTTGTTCAAATAGAGAGATAGTTAGCTTGAAGACGCCTGGATCGGTTTCGGCAAATGCTATCAGATACCGCGGTGTGTTAGGCATCAGTCTGTTACACGATGGCCTCTTCGTCAACTGCGTACTCTTTCGCGTACTTGCACTACTGCGAGGAAGTAATGCGAAGATCAGTTTCGAGTATGCAATTTTTCATCAAATGGTTTGGTTGCATAGGACACACTACTAGAAATAAATACAGCCAAAGTAGAAGCGATGCAGCAAATACAGAGCTGTTCACAGAAGGAACGTGTAGACAGCGAGTTGACAAATTGTAACAGATGACAACCGGATAAATGAAAGGTTTATTTTTGACAATGATTGAGCGTTATGAGATTCACTGTAGGCAACGCTATGGAAGAAATTTCCCTGGAACTAGGTACCACTTGGAGCACTACGTACCGGTCCCATAGCCAGGGTATTGCGGCGGTGCCTGAAAATCTTCTCCTTGAACATTTCCTACTCCGCCACCTGCCCCGGAAGACAGGCCGTAACCTCTCGCATTGATCATTTCCATCGAGCTAAACGGGCCGTTTGCAGTGCCATTAGGCGTATTCCCTTTGCGACCCTTCAGGCCCGTGCCAACCAAACCTCCACCACCCAGACGGCCGCCATCTGCAAAGACACCGAAATATACGCCAGGATACAAACATCAATAGAATATTTGTGTCCATACAAATGTTCTGCACGCACTTCGCTTCTCTGTTTCGTATCTTACGCTGTGCTCTGCTAACTGCACTGCTAACGTAGAACTCCTAGTTTAATTGAACGTTAGGCAATTCTATCATATTTAATAGAGTTACACGTTCAGAGCAGCAATAATTAATACTACATTACATTATTATATATGCGTCGTCATTACTACGAATATTACTTTCCCACAATGTGTGTCTACGTGTGGTGAAGCATTACGATCGTTTATTTCTAGCCGACTAGTACAATAGTAACACGAAGGTAAGCTTAGCCAAACAATGCTAACCTGTATCAAGGTTCTGCGTGGCGTAATATTAATGGCCAGTTCTGTAGCACTTTGCCATAGAAGCATACATTCGCATAGCCCAGCATTGTAGTGATGCTACAGTACTAACTCTTGTTTGGCGATGTAGGGCCAACTGCTTCCCGAGTTTCCGGACTCCGATTGGCAGTCGGCACCCCGTAGTGCCGAAAAATGATGAGGGCTGCAGACATTGTTGCACTACTGCTAGATCCGAGTGGTCACTACTAGTAGCCGTAGTGGTGCCGGTAATTGCGATACCGCCATTGCGTCTACGTATTATATCTACTAAACCCACCTCCTCTTTGCTCACATTGTGGCAGGCAGGTTCAGTGAACCGCTGGCCGAAGTTACCACGCCTTCGGATCCCCTGCTCAACACCCCTCCTTCATGCAGAGGCCGCAGCTTCCGATCTGCCAACCTCCGGACAGCAAACGCCAGTAGTTAATAAAGCGTAGGTAGATGTGGGCGCATGCGTCTGCATGCCTCTGTATTTCGTTGCTGTTGTTGTCGTCGTCGACGACGACGACCTAAGCAGTGAAAAGAAGGACGCGTTCTAGGAGTGCATCGAAAAAGTCCTGTACAAGAGGTCTGTGCCATGACCTACACGGACTCCCCGATCCTATGGGTTCACGCCGCTTTTAAATGAACCTTAGCGCTCAGCTTAGCGCTCATATAGAAGTAAACAGATCTCCGCGCTTAAATATTTTATCATCACTGACGTGTCAGTGTTGTTCAGCGTCTGTCCGTATAAGTCCTGGTGTGGCCACGTGTATGAGTACATAAGACAAGATATATTTATATGCTTGCCTGGTGGCTGGGGTATACTGTCGACCGCGCCTGGCCACAATCCCTTATGGTCCTATGACTTTGTATGGAGCATGCGCTGTGACCCACTTGGTCCGTTTTGGCATCGTGGTGACCCTTTACGCTTCTCTACGTCATTCTGGCCGATAGCAGACAAACGGCTTAAAGCGACTGATAGTAAGGCTGATTTATGCGTAGATTATGTGCATCCAGTAAGAGTAGAAACTTGCACTTCCCGGCTATTTTATAATGGCCTCAGAGTACCGTTGTTATGGCTGTAAAAAGCTAGAACCTAGTTGTAAAGAAGATGAAGTCCATGTTCGTTGCTCGTTAGGAGCCTTGGAGCCCTGCCACAGTGAAGCAAAGAAGAACAAACAAAGAGTAAAAGGCAGCGATTACACTAGCTCACTTGGCAGAGCTAACACGAAAAATTGGGATAGATAGTGACACCATTCATTTAAGTCGTCGAGAGATGTTGATACACTGCGGGTCTTTTTTTGAGAGGAACGCATACACGGATAAAGGAAAGGGGCCAATAGCGGCGAATCACAGCATTGCCAATTACTAGTAGTTGCCTAATCTTCAGCGAACTGTTCTAGGCAGTCTCATGTGGTGCGAGTTTCATTCCAAGTGCTCTAAATGTGGCCAGTACAATCAAGGTTACCGAGATGACGCCTATTTCGACCGTAACCTAGCAGAAAATTTGAAACAACCTAACAGGTTAGGTCGTTTCAAATTTCTTCCTGTGACGACATGCTAAATGCGGACGACGTCTTGAATTCCAACCTTGTTGAACATTTCCAGACATGAACAGCAAAAGTATATCCTTATAACATCGCTTACATTGGTATAGACTCTAAGAGGCAAGCTCGCGGATAATACCTCGAAGGGGCCCTTTAGCCCAAAGCATTGATGATGCTCAGCTTTCTTGTATCGGGTCATCACTTCGTCACAGCCTAACTTTGTCCTCCCCCCCATTCGAAAAGCCGACTGTTGAGATTCATAACAGGCTTGATATAACAAACACTTAAACCTCAATGGCTGCATTTCTAGTACTTCGATTGAAGCATACTAAACGAGCACCGATCTGTGCCGTCAGCCTCCGTTAGCTTTGTTGTATTCATGTCTGCATATGAAGATGATGTGATAACACCCACGACGCCTACATATGTGAATATATAAAGGAGTTGTGAATCCATTGCTTAGTTATGTAGTAGATCGGGTAACCAAAAACTGATAGAATGAAACATGGCATATGACACAGTGACCCCTGTAGTACTGCCCTACAGTCCAGCTGCGGTCATTTAATATATAAAAAAAAAAGTAAATGCTGAAAGTAATAAACAAATTAAAAGCCCCAAGTAATGCGGACTGTATTGAGTAATTAGCGTAATTAAAGCAATTCTACAGAAATAGAATATCCAATGCCTTTCGCATTGTGGCAAATGGTCTCTGTCCCTTCTAGCATCCACTTGTATGTAAACACCACTCACTTTTTCAGGGAAGGCAGCGGCGCAGCCGACGATGACGCTAACCACTTGTAGTATAGCATGGCCTACAATTCGCATAGAAGTAGGCAACGTGGAAACGCCGCAGCAAATGACGCCAACGTCTTCCACGTCAGAAACAGATACAAAGCAGATCCCTGAGTCTCAACCGTTATTAATGTATTGTGTTGTCGACATTCTATGCCGTCTGCTTGGAGAGGACGAGTGTGAAAAGGACTGCACAGCCGAGGACAGTTGTATATCACCAGGTTGTTTCTACTGCCGCTGTCGCTGTTGTGTTATAAAGGACTGCGAGGTTTTACTCCTTATCGGAGACCGAAATTACTTTTGCCTGTAAAGTCCGTGGATAGTTGGACAATAACAGGCTTTGATACGTAGTCAAGTAAGGATAGTAAAATAATAATAATAACAAGGATGCGACACTCCGGTATGTCCTTGTGGGCTGGGCAGCGTCTAAATAAGATGTAGGTACTGCACAGGTGTACGACGGCCCGGTCGTCGTCGTTTACCCATTCGGTCCTATCCAGTTTTTACAAATAGCGAGAGGGAAAATGAAAGAGACAGAGGGAAAACAAGAAAAAACGCAAGAAAATGTGTGGGAAACGGTATACAGCAGCTGCTGTGGGTCAGGAGTGACAGATAGAACGACAACATGCTACTGCTACCACTGCCGCCGCTGCCTCGACTGAGTTTTTATGAGACACAAAAACTTAATATGGCAGTTCCCCTCATCTTTGTACTCCGCTCGCTGTCATTATGTGTTACGGCCCGTCATCTCTTTCAGGCGATCCCTCTAGGAGGCTAGTCACCGCAAGTCTTCTCGGACACCCCTAGTCAGCCGTCGCGGGCCACGTTGACTCCTTAGGCATGAGAGAAAAGAAAAAAAAAACCTCTAGAGAGTCTTCGCGCATACCACCGGTCGTCCTTAAAATAATTACATGTCCTGTTACAAGCACAAGAAGCTGTGACTGCCATCTTTGGTTCAGCGTTGTATTAGGCATACTCATTTTAACACATACATTAATTGTGTCCTTCGCATAATACCACTAATATAGATAGTTTAACCGGTCCTACCATGTCTTTCGTAAATCTTTTTGCTATCTACAATGCGCAACCAATGACAAACGCTAAACACGGAACGCTAGTGGATTTTTGGGAAAACAGCTAAACTGCTTCACTTTTATTATCCCACGTGCATATTGGCGCTTTAAAAGGTTATCGACATTTAAAATTTTGCTCGTTATATTGATGCATCGTCTTCATGTTGATCTACTGAGGATTATCGTTTGCTTCACTTAGGGGTTTTCTTCTCGTTTTTAGGTGGGTTATTCAAATCGCTTAGGATCATCAGTATACTGGAGCATTTATAATTCAAATATTCGCGAATGTTCAGCACGATGGTCATACACGCTAATTCTATCACCAGAATACAGTATAATGCATGAATGATTTTGCTGCCATTTAATATCTCTATGCTTTTAAATTTGCCAAATCCTCTGCAGTCATCTCGCTTTATTGGAAGAGGAGTGGTCAAATTCTACCGTTATTCTTTCTCACCGAGTCCAACTCTCATTCACGATTCGCTTCCAAATCGACTCAGCGCTGAGCTACTTGTATATAGCGAACTCGAGAGTGGCAGCTGAAAGAGAGACATTGAAGTTGACTTTATTGTACTAATCTACTACTACCGTGTAATCGGAACGCGCTGCTCCAAGCCTCGTCCGCTCACGCGGCTGAACGTCCTGCAAAGACTCTCGAACATTCGACGGCAAGTGAATGAATGAGTGAATACTGGCTCCGGATGGAAAAACCGAAGTGGCTCCCTCAGTACACTCTGAGAGTTCCAGTACAGCTGCGCGGTAGCAGCTGCTGTAAGAGGAAAACGTCGGAAAGTGATCATCATCATCATCAAAGCAGGCGTACGAGGACGCGGAAAGAAGGAGCGTTCAGAATAACGAACTCGTTACGCCGATAGGAACCTGGCAGGTTTAAGAATCAGCTAGAAAAGATGCCCAGTTGCAAGGATTTTACTGATGAGTACCGATAGCACTTAGAAAATTAATCGAAATAAAAAAAGTGGAATACAAATATGAAGTGTTGTTTTCTGATCGATTAAATTAAATTACTTCATCGTCGTCGGCGAAAGTCATCATTTTGCCATACATGTCTCTAACGTATGAATTTTTAATATAGGATACATAGGTTTATATACAGCCCAGACAAATTATAATTTTTCTCACTCGATAAAACGACCAGTCAATTAAAAAATTAACACCCATTGTAACGTAGACGCAAGTACATTCTCCCTATAGTGTTCCAATCGGCGGCTAAACAATTTGCTAGGCATGTAATAAGGTATTGTGTAATTAAATATATAAATAAGAAAGAGCAGTTAAAGAAACAGTATTGATGCCCTTCGTCCATGCATATATCATTTGGCTTTCCGATGCCAGAAACGCAAGTACGACGTTCTTGGTGATTAGCTCATTTAGAACAGAAGACCGACAAGAAAAGCAGATCATACGTGTCTGGCAAGTAAGATGGGGAGTCGGGTACGGGTAAAACGGGGTAAGAGTTTAAGCGGTGGCACCGGAACGGATCGGTCAGAAACCCGCCTGGCCTTGCTTGCAAAGAATTTGAAAGTGGGGTACCGGCACTCATTTAGTAACACCTTGCACGCGTGGCGAAGTTAGCACAGAGATTGACGGGACGGGTGAACGAAAAGGGCCTCGAGTGGCGAATCCACCCTCATCCATGGATCGGCATCCTAACACATTTAACGCAGGCGAAGTTCCATCTCGATTTTTCGACGGAAACACTAAAGTCGAGCAGAAAGCCTTGTCGATAGATAGAGAGAGAGGGGGGGAGAGAGAGAGAGAGAAAGACGAGCTATCTGCGTAAAAGGGAGAGGGGCTAAGCAAGCCAGAGTACATAACGCAAGCTGATTTTTATGTTTATATTGGATTACGCTGTGGACCACACCAATACACCTATGATGGCGTCTATCTGACGCACCGAAAATAGCACAGCCCTCTATCTTTCTGGCATGTTTTTTTTGAGAATTGTCGCTGAGCCCCAGTGTTTATTGGATATCATTCGTTCAACGATATCCGGGTGAAGCATCAACCGTCTCGGAATCAACGAGCTCGATACTTCAAGTATGAAAGAGGAATAACGTGTTAACCCTATAGCCACGGAAAATACTATTACAAGCGAATAAAGTGATATATGATTATTATTTCGTTTCTTTGTCGAAGGCGATGCGATATCACAACAAAAGTTCCCGTTTCAATGATTGTAAGATAAATAACAATACACTTAGAAGTTCTGTGCATTTACGGACCTGCTAAGCAGGAAGCCACTACGATCGAAATAATGCTGAACAAACCTGTTTCACAAAAAGTGGTACTAAGTAGGCAACTGTGCAATATAAATGGAGGCTAAAAAATGAATATTTACTGAAGTTTCTTGGAAACTGCGTATGTTGTTATCAGGCGGCGCAATCCAATAGTCATACAGAAGCGAAAATGAAGGCTACTGTGACTCACCCAGGGAGATTTTTCGAGTCTCGACGACGTTACGCGGCTCTTCGTATTCATGCTGATGGTGATGAGTGGCCATTCCATTGAGGTTCATGTTGTGGACCGCCGCCTTGGCGTTGGCCGATGAGCGCAGGTCATCCTCGTTGTCCGAGCTCGAATCTTGGAGCGTCCATTCCTGGCTGCGGTTGCGAAGCAATCCGCCAGGCCCTACGCGACTGCCCGGACCCACTCGGTTCAAGCCATCCATGACCTGCAGCTCCGTCCTCACCGCCACGCAAGGCTACGGCTCCGGCCTAAAGTCCTACAACATTAAAAGAAATAACATGTCGAAATCAGTTCAGCCTTCTTCGACTTAAACGTAATATCGTCGAACCCGAATTGTCGGATACAGCTACATACACGACAGGCAAAGTTTACTCGATTCGTGTACAAGTAAACCCAGAAAATATCACGCGGATAGATTGTTACCCTCAACCCCCTTGTCTGACTTAAAATTAATATCTAATGTGCAACATGGTAGAGGGCAAATATGACCAAGCGGCGGAAGGGATATGGGTTCGGTTTAATAATAAAATCGTTGGCGGGATACGCTTCCGGCACATGTTCGCCATCGTACCCTCCAGCGCTAGTTACCTAGGCAGAATACATACCAATCGCTGGTTGGAGTCAGGCAAGCAGCTGATATATTAGATCAGAACGTTTAATTAGAACGGCACTCACTATCGCTGCCAGCCGACACGACCCACCACTGAGTGCGCACCCTAGGCAATAACGTCATGCTTTCCGTTACTGCACCGCTCTTTGCTGGGTGTTTCACGATACTTCTCATATTCATTTTTTTTTTTATGCTGACGGCTGTGCTAGATAAATTGTGCAGTGCATACTAATAATCAAAAGAGTATGAAACGCTGCAATTTCGTCGTCATCGTACAAATCATTTATAGCCGAACCGTTCCATGTAACTGTTTGTTAGCTGATCTTCCGATTTTGGGTGCTCAGGACAACACCATCGTTAGAAAGCACTAGTTTATCGTATCCCCTGCTTGCTTTCCAAGGTTTAGTGGTTTTATATAGTGTACATTTTGGATTCGCTTTGAATCGTATGGCTGCAGTGTACATTTGTGAGACTTTCATCAAACTTCGATTGCCTTCCAATTAAAGACCGTCACGAGTATACACACTGAAGAAAAAGGAAGACAGCGAGAGGAATACATCTCACGAAAGTATAAAAGAGCCAATAGACGCACCCAAATGGGTTTAGATAGTAATACACATGGTAAGCGTGCATAGGATTTATCAAATTATCTAAGCATCATTGCGTTTGAAAAAGAGACGAATGATTTGCTATACCCCTCTATACGAATACCTCGGCAGCTCTTTCCTACTTTGTCATAGACATTCATATTGGCCGTTACTGCCGTTCCATTGGTCTTCGCACAAACCGCCACGCTCCATTATCAATGCCGACGAGGCGTTGTATCAATGTAGCACGCCGATTTATGCGATGCTACACGAATCCCCCTCGTCCACTTTTGAGGGTGCCTGTCGCAGTCACCCCAAACTAGGCCTCTTTGCCGACTTCCCAATGCTAAATACAAAGAAGGCGCCATCTCATCCTATTCCACATTAGTACAGAGGCGAACTACATCATCAAGACATAGCTGCGGTCTCGTGTTGATAGCGGAGCTGTATAAGGACCGGCCCGCTACTACCACCATAGCTCTACCACTCACAGGGATGAAACCAGATTACCACGGTGTGGTCGTTCTCGTCCTCGTGATCAAAGCCAATGCAAAAGCCAGCACCACGCAATCTGTCGGTCCACAGTAGCCGGAGGTTAGGTTGCGAACAATTCACCATCTCGTATCCGTGTTCCGTTCCTCTCGATCGTCCCTTGGCTGTTCAAATTTGTTGCGCTTGGTCGACGCGGTGTCTTTCATGCCCCTTTTTATGTCTCCCCCCCCCCCCCCCCCCTAATTCGCCATTCGATAAACACTTCGCACTGATGCGCATGTTGGATTTGTGAAGAGTCGCGTGGCGCTTGGCAATAACGCTTGCCTGGGTTGGTCTGACTAACCAGCCCAATGCAAACCGAGCATGCGGCCCGATTGCGGACGCACAATTCGCAACGGGTAGTGACTTTCAATGGTGAGAAATTGGGTTCCCTCAATCTTCCCTTTACTTCCACCTATTAGATCTTCCCACCCGTCAACGTTCCTGCACGGACTTTATTGTACAACGGTGGACGGCTCCTTAATCCTACAGTCTCCTCGGTACCATTCTTCTCTCGAGACATCAGAAAGACGCATACAGAGTGAGATATGCACAAAGCGTGTACACACACTGAATAGAGTGACTTAAGCTCATAGCTGATACGAACGAGAACGTTCGTTTGTGTCAGTCAATTGGGCCAATTTTTTTGTGAATGGCTAATGCCAATCCACATCGACTCGCGGCTCGCCCAGGTATACACGGGCCACGGTTCATCTGGTCAGAGGAACTAATGAGAAAAAGCAAAAGAACATACATGCATACGCATAGAATTGTAGACGCGAAAGGCACATCGAGGCGGCAGGCGGCATATGCTACTTCGACGCTGCAATGTCACACAGGACATCGCGAGAATAAGAAGGGTCAGGCTGCGGCAATACAGATTAATGCTGAATGCTGCTTGCCAGAATAACGTAATTTTAGGACTACCGAACGCCGCCGCTAGCTCCGTCGTTCGGTGCTTGGCTGTTTCCTTCATTGGAAGACAAGGTTAATTAAAAATTTTCGATGACGCAGAGCCCTCGACAAAGCTGACAAGGACGTTATAAAGCGAATATCGTTGGAGTTGTCGTCACTCTAGCTGCTTCTCATCGAGGAAAAAAATTTCAAGCTCCCTCCCCACAACCCAGAGATAAAGGACGGTAGATACAAAGCAGCGGACTCCAGAAACGGCACGACGCGACATTGGATGGCAAACACCGAGAAGGAGGGACTAACAGAGAATCTGAAAAAGGACTAAATCACGTTTAGAACAATCATTCGGCATAGCCGCTATCACAAACTCTTGGAAGAGTCAAGATAGCCCGCAAGACTTCGGGCTCAATGTCTTACAGGGAGAACTCTCGACATTGTTGGGTCGATGCGAATGGACGGATACTGAATGACAAGGTCGATCGACAACATCAATCTAAGGTTTTTCCAAAACGGCAAGGTCCTCCAATTTTTTTCTCGAAACATATGAAGCGTTCTCCTTTTAATAGTCTGTACTCATAAGTAAACTGTATATTGGAGTCGTGATAACTGCATATTCCAAAAAAAAAAAAAAATGTATTTGCCAGGCTCAATTAAGCCAGCTTTTACCCTAATAACTCTTTAATTGAAGGATCCCTATAATGCATGGTGCATAAAGGAAGAGAAAACTCAATATAGTTGGTCGATTCTTAGTTCGAGGTTTACCGCACACCACACACTGTATAGCAGTCTCGACATCCGTATATAAGAATTAAGGTTTCAGCATAAGATCTGCAGGCAGCCCCGCGCAGGATTTTGTCTCGCTTGTGGTAAGTTTTTCAAGGCATGGTACAGCGTTCGACTCGTCGAAGTACTCTCCCAAAAGAACTTCAATGTAAAAAAGATCAAATGAGCATTTATCGATTTTTACATGTTTTTGTTATACATGCGCTCCGTATCTCAGATCGCAGCAGGACAGTGTTGTCGCCTATATATATATATATATATATATATATATATATATAATAGAAGAATGGAGAAGTATCTACCTGCTATCGGCACAATTTTCTCATTTAATTCTTGCCTATAACGTAGAGGCGATAATGCATACGCAAGATCAGTTAAACTGATCCTCTAGGCGAAAAAGGCTCCACCCTGTCCTTTGCTGAGACCCGTTTGTGGCTAGTGTATAGACAGCAACATCTTCCTTAGGCTTCATTAGTGCTACGTATAAAGGTTTCTAATAAAATTCAATAGGGACTACATGCGTGTAATGTTATCAAAAGCTTTCTCCGTTGTGCGAACGGGAAAATCATGTTAAGAGTGACAAAAATGTGGTTGGTTTAGCTAGACCACAATGGAAGCCTATTCATTGTCTCCACATTTATGTGTAGATGAGCGTATACATTTAAGAAAGTTAAATTACATTCTTTTCGAGCTCCAATAAGTCGGTGGGCCGTCTACTAGGGCAAGCCCATTGGTGATTCACTACTGAAGTTGAATGGGCATCATTGTGGCGGTCCATAAAAAGCTGCCCGCAAATACTAGCCTAAGAACTATTAGGAAGAGCAAGGAAGCACCTGTCGTCTATATGCTTCGCCTCAGGTATATGGCAAGAACGACGATTCATCCAAAGATTAAAACAAAATGTTGTATTTATGATCTGCGTTGCTAAAGTAGGGTCGAATATTCGAAAGCAAGCATTAACGGCGCGATTCTACCGAGGTTCAGTGACACTTTATTCCCTTTGAGACAGAGGATGAACAGACACGCCATCTTTCGAACGCGGCAGCTTCTTTTGAACACCTTGTCGCTTTGTCTGATATTTCCCTACCGCTTTGGTCACGCGTCGAATCACTACCTAGAAAATGTGTCCTTATTTCTTTTTGCCAATAGCCCGCGTCGCGCGCAGGCATCCAAGAAAAGCCTAAAACGGGAGACAGGACAGAGCAATTCTAAAAAGGTTGGATGATTGAGAAAACGGCTCAAAGGGATCTAGATAGAAGAGAGCGCGTAGTCGAGGCAAACATCAAAGCATCAAATGAAGCAGAATCACCATCATCATTACCATAGTCAGCATCAGCTTCATCATTCCGCACTTTGACTGCTTTTCACAGGAACACGTCTGCTTTACATGCAATGATGGAAGCGCCATGCCGCATAGCCGGGAGCCGACCTCACGTACTGTATGTACTCCTGCATGCTATAAGGACGACAGCAGCAGGGTAGCAAATATATGGAAGATGGAAAAATAGAAGAACTGAGAGCGACGATCAGGCAAAGAAAGCATGGAGACACTGCGCGGCAATGGAAGCAGACAAATTTGTCAGAGAAAAAGTGTCGAATGGCGAAGCTCCAGCTCCGCCTTTGCGCCACCCGCAATATATGTATATAGGCTCTCGACAAACTTACGAAGCAAAAGTAGCGGTTGGCATGATGTTCTGCCATGGGCGGAGGACAAAAGAACTGCTTAGCCGAACGAATGTAAACCCGGTCGGGATAACTGAAAAAATAGAACTCGAAACATGAATATTTGTGAATGTGTACATAGTATTAGTATTCAAGAGCTGGAATCGAAAG